CCAGAAAGTTGTGAAAAAATCAGCCCAATGTATTCCCGTCGTACGAAATCGCCATTTTGAACGGAACATACCAAGCTTGTTTTTACACAGGTGTGCAGAACGGCCGTGCATAATTAATGTGAAGTTGATAATCTAATTATGACGACCAATGACGGCCCGTTTCGGTGCCAGGCACTTATATGTGTCGAAGAAAGACAATTAGATTATCTAACTAGAAAAGTAACATTTGCAAAGCAAATGCATAATGTTTACCTTCGGATATGGTCTGTTTTGTTTATTCTTACTCAAATACATTCATATACTAGTATATGGTCAGACAGGAGTCTAAATCCCTCCTGCTATAATTAGTATAAACTTGCATCATGATGTAACCCAACACCAGTTACCATGGTGACAGACGTCAACAAATCAGGTCATTGGCCAGGTCAGAGGTTAGTGTTTAGAACAGAAGAAATTGAGTAAAAACAATGTTTTCCTTAGGTAAACATAATTACAAAGGATACTAACGTTGATGTCAATTTTGGTAAAAATATGGATGAAAATGCAGCTACTTGCACTTTTAAATTCGTATTTCTATCTTCACAAATAAACGTTTTGAAGAATAAGCTGTTATGTGGCCACAGCATGAAACATACCACTCTTGCCCAATTTTCCTATTAACTGTAAATTTATTTACTTTCTGGTAGAATAAGGCCACACCAATTTAATTTCTTGGTTCTTGGATTTTTTTCAGAAAAAATATGAAGCGACAGGGCGAAAAAAAACAGGTCTAGGCATCCTATTATAGCCCAATATGCTTAAGTAGGAACCATGAAGTCAACACAAGTCATTCATTCATTCATTCATACATTCAGCCAGGTACTGTGGTATGCACCTACACAAAAAAGACACTAGAGACAGAAAATAAGATCTTCTGACTTTTATTACTGTAAAATTGGTTCACTGCTGTGGAAGATGTCGTGTTACTGCCAGACAGTCAATGGCAAGGTTTCCACACACTACAAGCCCCACAGTTGTGTTGGAGAGACCCTCTCAGCATCAAATATCTTTTCAGTCATGCCCTGTAAAAGACCTTCCATCTGCTGCATGGTAAAAACCACTGCAATTAATAATCATTGGTGACACTGATAGTACATACATCAGATGATTAACTGTCCAATACTTAGCTCTTAAAACCTACAACAGAAAGGAGTACTATCTAATGATAATATCAGGAATAGCAGCTTTCTCTGAAAGGGAAGTTTGAAAGGTTGAGTTCACAGCACACCAAGTTCTTCGTTGCTAGTTGTCCCTGGAACACTCTTAAAAATTCAGTGAAAACTTTAATGTTGAAGCTAAATCAGTTCCTCTTCTTTCCTCCACTTGGGCGCATCCCTGGTTTGGTTTGGTCAAAACTAAGAATTAACCAAACACAGTACAAACATAGAGATTATGTGATTAGAATAGCAGTCGAATAGTCTAATGCCTATCAGATTGCTAGAAGGATCCTTGATAATCGTCCACAACTCACTAACACACCTGTGCAAAAAAAAATTACATTCAACATTTTCGTGGTAAGTATAAAAACTACCATGGTTAGCATTGTTAGATTCTTTGTAATTGTCCACAACTCACAAAAACTACTGTGAAAAAAAATGACATTCATGTTTTCCTGAAAGATCTTCTTGCCCCTGGTTCAGAAATAAGAATTCTGTTAAAGATAAACATTAAGTAAGGTAGAAATCGCCTGGAGTACTAGTGCTTCTGCTTTAAAAAAGGTCTTCCAGGTTGAAACTTATATAATCTATGAGTATGACACAAGCATTATCTACTAGTAATCAAACTTTAGGTTATTAATCAAGTACAGTTGGTAGAAAACAGTATGGATTGCTACCTCTTTGTTGGGCTACAATTGTGAATTTTACCACACCACATTTACATGTATGGCATGTCTTTTGATAATCCATGGTCTTTCTGCAGATTTTTTTTTTTTTTACATTGGAATCATTTTTTTCATTGCCAACAAAGGAGGCTGACAATACTTTTTGACAACAATGTATCCTAGAATTCACACCTATTTTAGCTCTGGCCTGTTGCAATTGGTGGTGGTACTGTGGGTGTGCTCCACTAGATGGGAGCAAACATAGCGATAGTTACGAAAATAGTTTCATCAGGTTGGTAAAGTATAGTATATAGGGGTTTTCTTTTACACAACCAGTATTGGCTCTTACCTTGCTTGCGTTTCGGTGTCTATCTGACACCTTCCTCAGAGCTTCTGACTGGAGTTCTGCTTCTTGCTGCTATTTGTAGCCAATGTAGGTGGCGCTTTTGCACACAATCCCAAACGTGGCTGATGAACCGGGACGAGGGGGGTGCAAACTCAGCCAAATTTGGGATTGCGATCTCGCCGCAAAAGCGCCACCTACATCGGATACGTATAATGGCAAGAAGCAGAACTCCAGTCAGAAGATCTGAGGAAGGTGTCAGATAGACACTGAAACGTAAGCAAGGTAAGAGACAATATTGGTGGTGTAAAAGAAAACCCCTATATACTAGTATCCAATAGGGATGGTAGCAGAACTGTTGAAGGGTGAAGAATCCAGTTTGGAAGTTGGAAGAGAGTCTCCAGTTAGTTGATGCCACAAAAATGTGGCTGCAAGTATAATCTGTGTTCATAATCATGTTGATTTGTTTTCAGTCCATAACTTTTCACTAGTTCCAAGATGGAAAATACTCACGGTAGAAGGTTCACAAAAAATAAATGCAGCAACTGTTGAAAAAACATGAATGCATGGTCATCAATTGAGATACTGCAAAATAAGAAAAAAAACATTTTTTCACAATTCTGCAAAAGACTTCAGCAACAAAGTCAAGTTTAAAAGTGGTTTCAATGCTTTTTTTGTAAAAATTGTCTATTCTCATGAAAAGTATGTGTCCACACCAATTTCTATAACAACACAAAAAAGAAAATAGAATGTTAAGAAAGTATTCAATGAGGTATCCAACAGACTCATTGCAATAGTTGTCCGAGAATACAGTGTTTTCCTTGAACAACTTTTGCTCTAAGTGTATTACTGAAACAAAGTGTTAGTGTTTTCCTTGTGTTGTTTTACTAGAAAAGTCAGTCAAATTTCACATGGCTCTAACTCTAAGACTTGGGCAGATTTCAATGTTTGAAATTTGAGTCTGAAAAACTTTTCTATTCAAATCTTGCTTGAAAACTGCAAGAGTAATACATGTCAAATGATAAGTCTAAGTCTGTGGTTTTTCCACAAATTCAGGAGTTATTAAGCATGAAAGAACTAAAAAAAAAAGAAATGGAATGCAAATTATTCTGACTTTTGTTGGAATGTGAATTTTAGAAGACGACTGAAAGAGTAAATTGGTAAATTGCCCAAGAGCCACTGAACGTCTCACTTCCATTGTCATTCCAACTTCTTAAAGTCTTTGGAAGACATGTGATGTGAAATGCTCAAGAAAACTGACTTCATAATAACATCACCAGAGCATGCAAGTACGATATACTGCATACATGGCAAGGTTGAAGCAAGAAAAACGTTGGAAAGGAAGTCAAAGATGTTTTGCGTTACCCGTTGCACTACGACTCTTCCCCACTTTCTTCGGTCTTCATTTTCGTTGGGTCTTCTACTTTCTGTTCTTCTTAATTCTTCATCTATTCTCTTTTCCTTTCACACCATCTTTTATGCAGAAATGGAAGACTTGATTTTGGGATTTGCCCTATAGAGAGCCAACTTTTTCAGCAGCTTCGTTCTTCTCTCTTGTAAGGCCACGGGGTCTACAACTTAGAGAAACACCCATTCTTCTCAACGCAATTTCTTCCTAGCGGGTATTTGTCTTCCCCAATTTCTTGAGTCTTCACTTCAAGTTGGGTTTCTTCATTTTTCTTTCTTCTGTTTTTTCTTTCTTCATTCACCCACCTTTGTAAGTAAGAGGAAGACAAGACGTTAATGTCATGTTTCAAGGAACAGTTGGTTTATTTAACTGGGTACATGCTAGTATTGTATACATGACCACAACATATTACCTTACCACAGGCCTTGCCATGCTCGTAAGAGTTTGATCAGCATTTCTATCAGTATGTGTGTGTCAGATTTGCAACAAACCAGCAAATCGGAAGCTAATTGTTTTTCTGGACTTCTTTGCTTTACATCATACAAAAAAGGTACATAATTGAGATGACCTTTCTTAGAAAACAAGGTTTCGATATCAGAAAAAACACATCATGACACACAGTTTTCTGACAGAAACACTGTCATTTACAGTGCATAACTTGATTACAATAGTCTCAACTATCTACAATAGCTGCACAGTTTTTTCTCTGCTGTAAGACTAGGAGTAAGTACCAGGAATTTGGACATATCGCAACATTTTATGTTTACATACTGCATGTATCTTCCCAAGGAGTGGCATAGAATTGTTCATGCAAAACATTCTTGAAAAAGGACAGAACATGCTTTTTCAGCTAATTGTCCTCTGTGGAATCTAAGAAACGACTCCTCAAAAAGCAAATGTTTTGGCAAAGTGTCAAAGGAATGGTCTAGATATGTCCAAACCCTGGTATGACAGTTTAGTCCCTTACATAATTGGTTCTTTACTTTTTATCTGTGGTAGCTACATTTTTCCAGACTTTCCAGAAGCTTTTGAAACTTTCATTGGTATTATAAGCAGCCTTTCTAAATCTTGCGCAAACAGCAACTCCATGAAGTTATTTTTGAAACAAAATTCAATGATTCATCCACAATGCTGGAAAATTTGGAAAACAGCAGCATTTAAACTTTAAACTCAACTAACACTGCATTGTGGTACCTATCTCATCTGCAAAACTGTCTCTATCGTTATAACTTTCTGAATCCTTCACTATGTCTATTGCTTACACTGCTATGTCGCTTGCTGTTGCAAACATGGGAGCAGATTGAGTTTTGCGCTATGCTTGCCAACATTTTCTATTGTTGCATCAGTGCTGTCACTTGTTGAAAGCTAGGTTCACAAATGGTTTGCAAGAAAAACAATAAAAACAGGTACAAGAATCCATCTCAAGGATATAACGGCTACATTATTAAGTGGTATTCAATTTTTTTTTTCAGCAAGGCCCACCAACCTTCCTTCTAAAGCCATGTGGCAGAACATTTTTTCTCGATACATTAGTTACATTGTGAAAACAGGAACAACTCCATCTTTGCATTTCACAAACACACCAAACACTTGGCAATGGAAAAGAAATGCTCTATCCGAACTCCTTGATCATTATTTAAAAAAAGGGTTAAAAATGGAATGTTTCTACAATACTAGTAGTAAACGTACAATGCCATTTTTGGAATACTTTTTGCTCTTGCAAAGTGTGTGCCTACATTGAGAGCTTTGGGTGTTACAATTTCTCATACAGAACACCATAGGGTAATGCACAATGTTATAGAGCATCTACATCAAAAAAGCCTTGCAGGGTCTTTAACATAGTCAGTGTCAACCCTCAAAATGCCCACTATACCTAATAAAAAAGAGCCAACATTTCTTTATCATACATCCTCAACCAACAAATTCAGTATCATATTGGCCATTCAGCCTATAACAAAAGAGCGGAATATGACAGGTTCAAATTTGATACTGACCCAAACAAAAATCACATTTTCAAGAACGTTTTTTTTTTAAGTCAGGACCTTCAAAAACCACCTCTACAACATTTGAAGTCAACAATACCTCACTCAAATCTATGCTGTAACGTGTCTTTTTGAAGCTTAGCCAAATCAATCCAATTGTGTGCAAGATTTCTAATTGCTTGAATTTGTTTTGTTTCCAATCTGGGAGTTCAAATTTGTGTGCAAGTTTTGTGAGTGGGCATAGGAGAGGCACACTGACTAAGAAAAAGCATTGGACACTACTGCTGGTACATAACTGTCACATTGTCCCTCAATCGTTATACCACTTTAGTCGTCCACCACGGCGTGATACAAATGCCACATGCTCACAAAATGCCTTAAGTCTATTGCGACTGATTTTGCTTTTCAGCGTGATATTGTGTTTTTAGTAGCGACCTACAAACAAAACAAAAAGGGAACACAAGAGCATTAAAATATAACCAATACCTGATGGCAGGAGAAACTCTCAATCCAGGAAAAAAAAACAGATGATGATTCAGAGAAAGCATGTCAGGTTTGCACTATTTAAAAACATTCTGATGCAGCTCGTTATAATTAAGTTACATGATAATTAATCTCCACAAATAGGTATATAATCTACCTGGAATCTTTGCATTGGGCCTAGGGCCTAGGAAAAAAATGTTGTGTTTCCTGAAAAAATTAGGGTCGGTAGGTAGGGATTATTTTTTCTTCTTTTTTATTAGACTTTGGCTATTTCTAGTGATCCAACTTATACAATACAGTTTAACAAAGTAAAACTTTCATGAGGAAACTGATATTTTCAATGTCAATGTTGGAAAACCGATTGTATAATGTTTCATCACTCAGGTGTCATATTATGGAGCTAGAAAAGGTCAATCAGCTTGAAAAATTCATGTCCCTTGCAGGGGTCCACACAAAAAAAGGCTAGGGTTGACAGTTTTTTCTAGGCTAGGGTCAGTCGGGAAACAGAAAACAACATTTTTTTCCCTAGGCCTTGCTGGAATTTCAGTAGGCTAGCAAATTTTCTTTCCTTATATGTCTTTTGTGACAGCTACAGAGCTGCATTAAATGTTTCTATATGACAAAGTGCTGAAGACAAAAGAGTCAAACTTTGGTTTGGAGGGACAGAACTTTAAGGAAAATTGATAAAGGAGATGGTTACAGAAGTGAAGGATATGAAAAGGGCAACTAAATTTGAGTTGAAAGAAACAATAAGGAAAATAGGAGAGAGCAAAAAAAAAGCACACCAAGGAGCGTCTACGATTACTTACGTGGTGAGCGCGAGTAAGAGCGGGAACGAGAGCGGGAATAGTAGCGCCGGGAGCCACGGTAGTACGGCGAGGGCGACCGCCGGTAGTAGTCCCTGTCACGATCGCGGTCTCTGTAGCCGCCGCCGCCGCCACCACCCCCTCGGTCGTAGCGATCCCCACGGTCGTAACGGTCACCCCCGCGATCACCCCGGTCCCCGCGGTCTCCCCGATCTCCTCGATCACCCCCCGTGCTGCGGAGAAATGCCGTGTATCGGGAAGTCTGTCATAAGACTCGTGCTGAATTTGGCGGCTACCTCGACTCGACAATGTCTGTCAACTAACGTACAGTACTAGATGCTAAAATTTGGATATTATTAAGGTGCTAACATTTGATAGTACTATATGCTAGATGCTAAAATTTGGATATTACTGTATGAATGCTAGGTGCGAAAATTTGAATATTACTACATGCTAAATGCTAAAATTTGGATATTACTACATGCTAAATGCTAAAATTTGGATATTACTACATGCTAAAATTTGGATATTGCTATGTGAAGATATTCACTGAGAGCATGTGCTATACTAGATGCTAAAATTTGGATATTGCTGAGTGAATGTATTTACTTTGGTGCTAAAATTTGGAAATTTTTGTAAAGCTATCTTCTACAATTTACTGCAATATTAAAAAAAATCAGAATAAAATGGCCTAATGTCATTTTTTCAATATAGGGCAGTTTAAGTACTCTTGCTCGGAATTTTGTATGCTACAATAAAAAGGAGTCTTTGTGAATTTTACATTCATCATTTTATGTTGAAAGGGAAAGAAATAATAAGAACAGTATGACACTTGGTTGAATATCTTCCTGCATAATATTTGTGTTACAATTTAGGTTTTGAGCTCTACGGCTTTTCTTCATTTCTCTGAATATAACAATAAAATTTAGGTGCAACTCTGTACAACATTTCCCGATACATGGCAGATATTTGGTAAGTGCAAGTTCTCAAGAAAAAAAACACAACACATAAATAATATTCATAACAGGTCAATACCAACAATACTGTATTCCTCTAAAGCTTTATAACGTTTCACGTGAAAACATACAATCTTATATTCTTTACAGTATGTGATTGACTTAAAACGAAACTGTGTATTCAAGAAGTTTTAAACATACAAGTACTACCAAAAGATACATGGTCTATCGTACATTGTACCTCAAAAAAGTAGCACTATTATAGTGCTAATTTTATCCATAACTAAAATACTTTGAAACACTCACTACGTGGGTCGTCCCATGTAGATGCCTGGTGTAGGGGTGTGAGCTCTCTCTGTGATGGAGTAGTCTACTCGGATGCGGCGTCCATCCACCTCCATTCCATTGGTACGGTCCTTGGCCTACAGTTTCAGTGAAGACCACACACTTGCAATTCTATACATGTAAGTAGTTCAGGCTAAAATAGGTGATTCTTAAAATAATTACCACACCTAACAGATCCATGGATATAGAAGTGCGTTTTGTAGACAAGTGAAGGTTAGGTGCAGGTAGACCAGGCTTTTAGCTAGGATTTTTTTGTGGGGTGTCCATTTTTTATTTATTTTATGCTATGCGCAAAGATAGGCGGTGCACAAGCTTTTAGGGGTGCTTTTTTTAAATTCGTAATACTCTCAACACTACTTTCTGCAGTTTGAGGTGCAAATTTTGAGGAATTTGAGTTTTTTTCCTTCAGTAAACCATCATTTTTGTATTTATAGTAAGGCTGAAGGGAGGCATGTGTCCATGGCAGGGGTTGGGAGTAGAAAAAATAGGGCGTCTTTAGGGTATCCTACCAAAAAGTAGGGCGTCCAATTTCTTATTATTTTCAGTATAGGGAGTCCAAAAGACACCCTGGACACCCCCTAGCTAAAAGCCTGAGGTAGACATCAGAAATACCCGCACAGCCCCAATTTTACCTACTCTATGGTGTTGGACACAACAAATCTTAACTCACCTCAACTGCATCTTCAGTAGTTTGGAAGTACACAAAGGCAAACCCTCGAGAGCGGCCGGTCTGAAACAGAAGTCACACACCTATAATCATCTGCAGCTACAAAGGATTTTTCTGAACAAGACACTGAACAAGACTATTTCCTGAGAGGGGTGACGGAGGCTGTATACAACAGGGACCCTTCACTGAACCACGACGGGGGCTGACATCGTCTACCAGATACCTTTGACCCAATACTGACGTCACACTTCAAAGAAGCCACGTGACAAGCTTCACTGGGTCAGTCTGCTGAGGAAGACCAGAGTGACTGGTCGAAAGCTCTAGGTGAGAGAATTTTTTGTGTTGGATCTAAAGCTTTAACTCAAAATGTAACTACCAACACAGATGAACCTTCATGAAAGTATTTTTCTGGTTACAACTGGCATGGTCCTTACTAAACTAGCAAAATGTGATGTATTCACTTTTTTTTTTTAACCAAATTTAACGTCACTTTTCCCCAACTGGGGGTTAGACGTGCTTGCACCAAGTACAAGTCTTTTTTTGAAGCAGGATTTTTACGGCTGGATGCTCTTCCTAACGCCAACCCAAACTCTAGTAGGGCCCAGGATCCCTCTAAACTGAGGGGGGAAATGCGTGTTAAGTGCCTTTCCCAAGGGCACAGCGTCTGGGTGCATGTGCCCATGTCCGGACATGTCTGGGTCCAACCCCGGGATTGAACCTGGGTCTTCTTGCTTGACAGTCGGACGCTCTATCCACTACACCACACAGACGCCACATAAACGAAGAAGTAGCTTCTACTTGTTATATTGTGCATTTAAGATATCGTTGTATTGAAAGGGCTTTGAAGAAATGCCATTTTTTTACCACCAAGGAAAAAAGCTTGACAAAAATCACAAACACTTCCTTCAATAGGAAAAAAAAAGAGGATTCGTAGACACCTTTTGGTCGTAGACAACTTGTACTTCCTGCAGTGGGCCATAGCGGGAGAAGACTTCACGAAGATCCCTCTCCGAGGTGTACAGACTCAGTCCAAAGACACCCAGGCAGGCGCCGGTTGTTGGATTTTCCTGTGTGATCACACAAATTCTGTTTAACAAAAAGCCATTGGCTGATTAACAGAGACAAAAATATCAGAGACAAGGAAAAATGGGCTCTCTTTAGCTTTCCTATCAACATTTTACTCCAAACAAAAGCTAATTTATCCTTGAATAGTTTTAGTGCATACATGGACAGCACAGTATTTTGTTGGAATACTCCAGTTATGAACTGAGATGGGCTTTAAGTTAGTGATGTTTGGAACTGCACTGCAATGCCACCTAGCAGAGCTCGTGTGAAGTGCAGCTAGTCATTCTTGCCCTGACAACAGTACTAGTAAGAGAAGAACTACTGAAATATTGCCAAGTAAATCATTCTGGTTCTGCAATAGTTGAACAAGACCAGTGTTGTGAAATATCTGCTTTATTACCTCCATGAAAAATGGAGGTATTGTTTTTGGTCTGTGTGTGTTTGTGTGTGTTTCTTCATATATCTGGTTAGCAGGATACACTGTTAACATGGGTCATGACAAAGGTCAAATGTGGGCCTCCTGGTGGCTGAACTTGGTAGTGCAGCACACGTTCCATTTTTTAAAAATCTTTTGTTCTGGACATGCTATCAGTTTGGTATTTTGGTGGCAGAGAGCTTTTTATGTCTTGGTTTGGTCCCCCTGTTAAAATCTTGTTATGGACCTTGAGAATTTGCAAACCACTAGGCCACGGGAGAGGAACCAATCAGCAGCCATGTTACTTTTCCCTGTGCAGACTCACCCTGCTGCCGACATGTCTGCGGCGGTTAGACATGGGGGACCGGCTGTGGCTGCGCCGGTAGCGGCTGCCTCCGTAGCTGCTGCCATAGTAACTGCTGCGGCGTGGACTGTAGGAACGTAAGTCAAACCAGTTAAAATCCAACATAGACCAAGCATGACCATCTTACAGCTCAAAATTAAAAGAAAAGGACATCTACAGATAAACACTCTATAGCACATATAGCATGTCACTTCATGGTTTAAAAACGCAAACAAAAAACAAACAGTACTAACCTTCTGCTGCGAGATCTGTTGTGCACAGAAATATAAAAAAAACATGTCAGTTGATTCATGAACACCACAATAAAAACAAATACAGTGTACTTCAAAAGCCACTCTAGGTATTCATTCATTTTGATAATAAGCAATGATGAAAATGTTACTCAACAAAACTAGTTCTACAAGACCTGTCACTTTTTCATTTCATATCTTACTATCATATAAAACTAAAACTAGAGAGGCAACATTTGCAAAGCAAATGCAGCATGTTTACCTACACATGGTATATCCTAAAAAACTACTGTTCTGTTTATTCTTACTCAACAGTCATATGTTGTGACACAATTCTAACTCTGTCCTGCAACTTGCACCATAATGTAACCCAACACCACAGGGTATCTGCCACAGCACCAGTTACCATGGTGACAGACATCTATTTTTATTTTATTTATTCTTTAATTCAGGCCCCTGGCCCATATCACATTGCGAACAGACAGACAAAAATAAATGGAGGCGTTGTAACAAACACAATAAATAAAACCTCGATAATCTAGCTATACCTAATTTAAAGAAAATAAACTACTTAAAAACTAGGTTAATGTAATGCCTCCAGAATGAGCTGAGGTAGTAGCCGTCAGAGTGAACTAGCGTAGAGATGATCGTATTGTCACTATGAAGTAGCCGAGTGACAAAATTGTTTCCTTCGTCTAGCAACTGGCTGTTGCTAGTGCTTCTGCTTACAGAGAGTAAAAGCTTCAAGGCGCTGTGGTACGCCACTCGCAATCTAGATATCATGCCCACACTATAAATATAATCTGCCCATATCTGGGAGCAGTACATAGGAGTGCAATAACTATTAAAAAGACATCTGGTATAGGTCATTGACCTTGTGTGTTTGGAACAGAAGAAGAAACTGAACAATACGTTTTCCTTCTGTGAAAAAAGACTTGCATTTGATGCAAGCACGTCTAACCCCCGTTTTGGGGAAAAATGATGGTAAAATTGGATTAAAAAAAAAAAGAAGGTAAACATAACTACAACTTTGAGTCTGACCGTGGTTTGCTAGCAGAGAGGACAGGTGTACAAGATGGCAGAGGCTATGAGGGAACGTGGTTTACCTGTATCTCCTACGAGACCTGGACCTGGATCGAGAGCGACTGTAGCGCCGGCGGCGGTCATACGAGCGCGAGCGAGAACGGGATCTGGAGGCCCTGGAATGCTTGCGTGGGCTAGAAAGAGTTATGGGAAAAGATTTCTGTCATACCTGACCACATGTACCATAATACATTTATATACATGAAAAGTGAAATCTTTACTCCTACTGGTCCAAGAAGAAAAGGTTTTGATTGAAACAGCAATGTTGTTACAAGAATGCATATTACAGTGATAAGAAAATAGCATTACATAGTTTCACATATAAAGTTGTTGCCATACTTTAAATTTTGTATCATGTAGAATTGTCGTGCAATAGTTCTTCATAACACGTATGGGGCAATTGTATTTGTTTATTCAAAAGCTCTTGGTTCACAGTCTATATTAAAGGGGATAGACCAGTAATGATCATAGGGAAGGGTTAGACCCCCTAAAACCATTCTTGGTCCATCCAACAGTTTGGTTCATCTCATTTTAAACTCACCTCGGAGATCTGGAGGCTGATCGTGACCGTGATCGCGAAGGGGATCTCGACGCGGCGCGAGCGGATGGAGAACGGGAGTACGAGCGGTTAGATCCGCTGGGAGATCGGGATCGCGAGGCTGAACGGGACGCAGATCTCGGTGCAGATCCCTTGGATCGTCTACCAGTGCTCTCCTGTATAAAAATATAAGTCACGTTACGAAACAGGCATTCATCTCAACCATCTAAAAAACGGACTCACTTTGACCCATAAAGAATAACCCAGCCACAGGCGAAAATCACCGCCTACTCAAATTTTTGCGCCGTCTACTTTCGTGTAAATGTAAGAAAAATATTGTAGTCTCCATTATAAACCCCTTCATGGCTCGCCTGCTACATTTTCATTTCAGCCATCTACTCTAAATTTTTGTGAGAAGACTGACATTACAAGAAATTTTTCACTGAGAGCAGTCAGAGTACATAAATTTTTCGTTTCTTGGATTTGCAAATGAACAGGAGAAAAAAACACTGAGATATTCATAAAATAACACACTGACCAGAAGCTACATGTAGGGAGGTGCATCCATTGACTTTATCTTTTCAGATGATACAGAAAACAGTTGGAATAGAAGTTAAATGTATCTTTCACTATAAGTATCTTACAAGAATGTTTGACCGGCAAAACTACCAAACCCCACCCATGCCCAGAACACATTCAGTGTGGCGCTTGGAATTTTAAGACACAATGAACCACTGTCTTATCTAAAACTTAGTAAAGCCACAAGTCATACTTGATAAGTTAGGTTATGATATTATATAGACAGTCATTTTCTTTGATGCAATGACCTAAGAGCTACTTTACTCAATAAGTAGGAGTAGATCAAGATGTTTTTGTGTTGTTTAGCCTATAGTCTATCAAAACCTCATTTGAGTGACATGACCTACATTTCAGAAGTAGGTTACATACAGTAGGTAGGCCACCCAAAATGAGGACAGTACAGTTCTGGGCTATTACAGTAAGCAAACATTCCCTCAAAGTTCTATAAATGTTCCTTTGTGTGTACAACATGCACTGGCCCAGGCCTACAGTGTTGGGTACTACTGGCTATTGAGGCTTGAGTTTCAGTATCAAACTTAAACTGACTGAAAAGGACAAAGAAATTTCCTATTCTATTTATATTTCACCTATGCTATAGTATGATGTCATTGCTAGTAAAATTATGGAGACAATAATTCATTTAATTTTCAATCAATCTCATTTCAACTTTCTGTAATGTAGAATGCAGTCAAGCTGATTTTTGCATGTACACGTATCATTATATGATACTTTCCAGATCATATAATGATATATCTTTGTTGAATGAATCACCCTGCATAATTTTTAAACTGGGCCATTGGGTCAGCTCTAGCCGTGGCGACTCTTGACTCGGGCTTACATATAATGTATCATATAATGATACGTGTACATGCAAAAATCAGCTTGACTGCATTCTACATTACAGAAAGTTGAAATGAGATTGATTGAAAATTAAATGAATTATTGTCTCCATAATTTTACTAGCAATGACATCATACTATAGCATAGGTGAAATATAAATAGAATAGGAAATTTCTTTGTCCTTTTCAGTCAGTTTAAGTTTGATACTGAAACTCAAGCCTCAATTGGCCGGGTTGCCGATGTTCAGATCGGCCTAAATATTCCACAGCGCGACGGGAAAGTACTAAAATAGCTAGTCGGTACATCCGCGCCGCCATTTTGGATATAGTCCGGAATGTCCGCTACCGCCGTCGGGAACGCTCGGCAGGCTTTCCGGTTATGATCGGAGAGTTTTCGGTCCCGCTTCGGTAATCGTGGCGCTACCGAGCGTTCCCGACGGCGGTAGCGGACATTCCGGACTATATCAAAAATGGCGGCGCGGATGTACCGACTAGCTATTTTAGTACTTTCCCGTCGCGCTGTGGAATATTTAGGCCGATCTGAACATCGGCAACCCGGCCAATTGTGGAGTTATATTGTAGGGAAGCTCGGGACAGCAAAAAACCGGGTCAAAAACGGAGCATCGAGCAGCCAACGGGAAATGTGCAGTTCTGCCAATGGATCTTTCCACGACTCTTGCTGAGGGTAATGCAATGTAAGCCCGAGTCAAGAGTCGCCACGGCTAGGTCAGCTCCAGAAACACGCAGACAAAATATTTGTGCGACGTGCAAGATCACGTCGCATTACCATAAGTGGACTAACCAGTCGGTGCTAGGAGAGCTTGGATTAGAGTAGGTGTGGCAAGAACAAAGCCCTAGTATCAGAACACTGGCGAAAAATCACAGCATAACAACTGTCTGACAATTATGTGAGAGGAATATACATAAATTTTACATGCTAAACAATCTACGCAGTATATAATTGTGCTGGATAACTTTGTTGCAAACATATTTGTGAATTATTATCTTAGAAATTGCAAAAAGGAGCACTTGGATATCTGTCTGAGAACAGTAAACCGTGTCAAAGAAATCATCTACACACACGTACGAACATGTAAAAATTATCAAGCGTCTTTCATGCACCAGCAAGAGTAGCAAAATGGTAGAATAGTTTCAGTCAAGAAATTTCACGTCAAAGAACGACAGGATCGCCATGAAATGACCAGGGGAGGTCGATCTTACCCTCCGCTCTTCGTATTCGCCGTTAGTGTCGCTCATGTTGGCTGTTTCTGGTGGAATTTTCCCCGAATTTTCGCGATTGTTCAGATCTCACACCTCCACAAAATGGCGACCGCCTTCTCTACCGCAGTGCATGAAGGGAAATGAAAGCTGGACTATTTCATAAATAACTAATAGGGGGAATAATTTTGTCAAAGTATATGGTATTATAAGGCACATGGGTCCTAAATTATCATATTTGTGATACTTATAAAGTAGCTAAATCATTTTTAAGTCATAAAATTCATGTATTTGCTCTGTACTGGTGATAAGACAAACTTTCTTCTTCTTAACTTTATGCCATCCCTATGCTAAAGTGGAGTGCTCCTAATTTGAGGAGCATGTGTGATGAAGTTTGTTGATGGTCAAGGTGTGTGTCCACAAGATACTGTTTTAAAGTATACTCTAAGCCTCTGTCATGGAGCTCAACTGGTGAGTGTGATACTTGATAGATCAAAGACAGAAAATAATCGCATATAACGTAATTGAACAGGTCAGAATGTCCTTGGTCAGATCATGCGTATGCATCACAAAATCAGCAATCATTTGTTATCCAGAAACTGAACCTGCCTGAATTTACCATTATACAAGTATTTTTGATTTATAAGAGGGCCTGCATGCCCTTTTTCGTAAGGCATAATCAGGCCTTTGTAGTCTTCGTAATCCGTAGGCCGCCAAAAACATAATTGCAATACGTCAGCTGTATTCAGCTGTATCACGCGTAACTGTTGTAAATCAGCTCTGAGAATTTAACGTAGTTTGTAATCTGCAGTAAAAAGTTTACATAATTCGTAATCACTACCCCCCCCATGCAGGCCCTCTTATAAGCCTTGACAGCCCTTCAGCAAGGATCCCCCCATGCAGACCCCAAGGGACGACTGCGTGTGCAAGATGTCGGTAGCTTGAGGAATGAATCCCCTCTAAGGGACGACTGCGTGTGCAAGATGTCGGTAGCTTGAGGAATGAATCCCCTCTACTATATATCCCCCATGCAGACCCTCGTTAAGGTACCAACTGATGTTTTTTTTTTTTCAGGGATGCCCCCCTGCTCAATGGACGCCAGTCTTTCTTCACTGAGACCAGATATAACCAGTTTTCCATCGCTCCTACCTTTACTGAGGTCCTGGAGGATTCACTCCCTCCTGAGGTGAAAGAAAGGTAAGACGCCTTTCTGAGTGGGGTTGTGTGGCGCAACGGCAGAGTGCTTGACTCAGAACCAACAGGTCCCAGGTTTGAGTGTCACTCTCACTCACTCACTCACTCACTCACTCACTCACTCACTCACTCACTCACTCACTCACTCACTCACTCACTCACTCACTCACTCACTCACTCACTCACTCACTCACTCACGCACTCACTCACGCACGCACTCACGCACTAACTGCGATTTCAGCACAGCAAAACTGAAAATAGTCTGAATAAGTCACATCTGAGTCAGTATATTCATACTTTGAGCTTTTAGAACTACAGAAACAAGCCCCTAGATGAGTCATTTATTTTCTGGGTGGTACCCTAAAAATCTTCCAAGGGCCCTTCCAGTAACCATTTTCCGTCAGAAGTTTGTGAATTTTTGCTCCATGAGAGTCAATATACATTGGAATAGTGTGATTTCAATTCAGTATGTAGATAAATTGGTAGAAAATTGGCTGAAAAATCAGATTTCCAAGCCCGAAAAAGTTGCACTGAATGCCTTTGAGGCATCCCTACTTCTGCTTCCATATCTACATAATGTATGCATGCAGTCACTGATGTTATCACTGAGTCTTATTTTGACTGATCTTCTTCAAATTATTGTAGATTGCGAAGAGAGGCTGCAGAAACTTCAGAGAGGATTCCAACACAAGCAGAAGTTCAGAATGTCCAGGCGACTGCAGTTCAGCAGCCCAGTGCTGCTTCAAAACCTCCAGCCACGAGTGCTACCAAGAAACCTGCAGTCACAAGTGCGAACATTAAACCCCCAGCACTGAACGTTTTAGGGAAGCCCCCGTCCTCCTACCCTGTACCCCGTATCCCGTTCCCTCGGCTGTCTACACTGATGCACGGAGAACAGAAGACCTACATGGAGCTGTTCAGGAAATACCAGTTTTACAACCCAGCGCGACCACCAGGGCCAATAGAAATGAGGGAAATACAACAATTTAGGGTAAGGGTAGCACGTCAGCAGAACGCACTGCACCTGCACAAAACCCGTTATGTATTGCACATAGAACTTTGGCAGAATGTCTCATATAAGGTCCTACTCACTTATATAAGGTTAATATCCTGTCTGTAGTTTCCAAATATTGTGTTGGAAAAGATACCGTGTGCAACAGGCAAAATTCTGATGCAACAGTGACCAAACATCCAACAAAAAATTGGCGTTTTGCACAGGCGCAGTACGTTCTGCCTAGTCAGAGTCTACGAAATACATTTACGAAATACATGTACTGTTACCCTTACCAGCATGAGTCATGCTGGTAAGGGTAACAGTACATGTATTTCGTAAATGTATTTCGTAAACTGGCTAAGTTTGAGGACATAATCAAGATATACTGACGAATAGGGTTTTCTTGGAATAAAAAAATTATCTTTGTCTTTCCAAGACAGTAGAGACTATTTCTTTCTTATTGTTCAAGCTAAAGCTCCAATTCAACCAAGTCCAACTGTCTCATAGGCATAATATTTTTTTAAAATTCTTCTACATGGTTGGTAACTCAAAATGTTTATCCGGATGGTTTTTCAGGATTTACAGATGAAGGTAGGCCCTGAACAGGAGGAGTTTATGCGGTACCTGGAGTTTGTAGCCACACAGAGTCCCCAAGACTATAGCTTCATGCAGCCACAGGCCAAAAAATACATACAGGTAAGTCAGCGCGTTGGGATTGTAAAGACGTTGCTCGGTTGTGTGGCATAAATGGTAGTGTGTTCAGCTCAGTACGAACAGGTCCTGGGTTCAAAATCCTACCATGTCACCGATCTTGTGCCCTTGGGAAAGGCACTTTACACGACTTTCCTCACTTCACTCAGGTGTAAATGAGTACCTCAGCTTCGGTTAACCGTTAAATGGAGGTCCCGTGTTTGGGGAGAGCCACGCCCCACGCACGTTAAAGAACTCACCGCACTTGTCGAAAAGAGTAGAGGAACTTTCCTATGTGAGTGGTTAAATTTTACTTCAAACCACATAGTCCGGTGTGCCGCAGCTTGTAGTTACATGTACAAAACTGGTGTGTTACGCCTGAAGGTGGTTTACTGGTTATGCAAAACAAACAAGCCAGTCAGTGTACTGTGAGTTAACATTGTAAGGAATTCGTTACTGGATTTCTGTGTTGTTTTACTACATCATGTATACACATGATCAACACAACTTCAATACACTGTACTTTAGACTTGAAAAGACTGATCTTTAGGCATATTATGTCAAGAGCTATAAACGACAATATATGTACAATGACTTCAATAATTTTTTATCTGAACAACATACATCTGTTCTTTTTTCTTACAGGAAGTTCTTACAGCAAACAACAGAAGCATACCAATGATGGGCTACCCCCAGTTTTACAAGGTTTACCAGACAGTGGGCATCTCCACTGTGGGCTTCAAAACAGACCCTGTCATGAGACATGTCAAAACACTGCTGGAAATGGTCAGTTTTCTTGTTTCCCATTTTTTTGCTATGTAGGTTAGAAAAAAGAAAGCTTTGCTGGCACTTCAATCAGGTAATGTTAACAGGTTAGGCCATATTTAATTTTATAGATGACATCCACGTGCACATTGATTTTTGCCTGTTCTCCACAAAAACAAACACCAGTCCAATGAGGCTCTGGTCTGGGTGCCAACCTCCGTAGTCCATGGTAGCTAGCAACAATAAGGAGCCAGCGGTAGCTACATCGGATGGCACCCAGGCTGCTGACGCTCCACGGAACTCAAGAATTCAGTACAGTGCCAACTTATAAACGCTGCAAAATGCCAGCATGTGCCAGCTTGTCGTTAAAGTTGCTAATATGTATTACCGCAAATTCACAATATACCAGCTTTGTATTCCTGTGGTTTAGCAACATTTTTTTGCCCGGAATTTTTTTTTTAATTCGCCCGTGTACACTACTTTTGGGGTCTTCAGAGGATGTCATCCATAGAATTATGTCAGTGTGGTCTTATAATATAATAAAACTTTAAATCCTCTCACCTGAAGCTGTTTTCTTTTATAGGGCTCTGTTCCTGGACTGAAACTTCCCAAAGCCAATGAAACCGCCAAGGTCCTGCCTTCGTATGAAGAGATCGTGGATCACAAACCAGTCAACATCCCAGCAAAAGTTGACAAAAACACCTCACAAAAGGTTTTTGTTATGAGAAGATATCTATTGTATTATGAGACGTGTGATAGACAATATTTTGCAATTTTAGAGAATTTGCCAATGTTTTATCAGAGAACAATACTCTATGAGCATTTGTATATACATACAACTTATTTGAACACATGAAAATTATTGGAAGGCAAATCACCCAATTGGTTCATGACATCAGGGTGATTAGCTGGTATTCTTTCAAAAAAGATTCAAAGAAGTATTTTTAACTCAGACATCTAATCTCTGTAGGTGGTGAGTGAGGATGAGAATGCTCAGAAATTAGCAGCCAAATATGGAGCTCACATAGTTCTGTCTGCCAGCGCTTTGTGCACCCTTCTGGACAACCATGCACCCCACTACCAGGAGCAGTGGGAGCTACCTGTCACTGTCAAGGAGTCAACATCAACAGGTTTGTAATAGATGTACCTTTGGGGCCTTGTCACTCTCAAGGAGTCAAAATTATCAGGTTTGTAATAGGTGTAGCTTTGGGGCCTTGACTGTGAGGACTGCAATTTTCTTGATTTCAATTCCACATTCTGTGCTCATAACTATACATCTGAATTGTTGAAGTTAAAGTGTAGAAATGAACAAAAAAATATAGGATTGATAGCAATTTTTATTACTTTTAAAATTAAATACTAGTAAGTGTCCATTTAACACATTATAGTTTATAACGTTACAGTGATGCTTTCCAAAGACCACATTTCTATTTACAAAATTAACCATGCAATAATTAAATAATTATCTTATTGTCTGGATTGATCAGAATTATGAATTCTCAGATATCATTATATTCAGTGTCTCTTTTTTCTCACTGTCATTTAGGGGACAGTACATGTACAACAAAGACTGTGGTCATTGACAAACCTCTACCAAAGAAGAACATAACAGCAAGAGAAAAGAACACACTGTTCCACAGTATTGCCTTAGAGTTGTTCCTGACAGACAAAGGTGCCAGTACTGTACTGGAGAAACTGAGATCAGATAGATACACAGCTACAGACATACATAACTTACATGTAGATGCCCCCAGTGATGAAATGGAACCTTCCAGTTCTATTGAAAAAGACATGCAACGGGATGATACCAAAGAGAAAATGGGGAGGACATGCCAAGAAAGGAAAGAAGAAGACCTTCTTGGAAACAACCAGGACTTGGCAGACCTGGAAACCTTTGGGGAGGGAAGCAGAAGAAGAATCACCAAGAAAACTTCAGCTAAGATGCAAACTGTTCAGACCACAAAGATATCACAAGAAAAAGAAGAAAGTCAGCATGTCGAAACTCACACTGTAGACACAAATAAGTCCAGAGATATAGATGATCAGTGTAAAGAAATTGAAAACACAAGTTCACAGATGGAGGTAACAGACAATGAAGGCAAGCCACTTGTAGAGGCTGAAGATCATGTAGAGAAACTTGAAAGTACCAAGAATGAAGTCACAACCAGTGCACAAGTAGCTTTAGATAGTGATGTAAACTCTGAGAAAAAAGAGGTTCAAGTAGAAGAGGAAGAAGGCAGGAGTGAAGATACGAAGAAAGGGAAGACAAAGAAGCCTACAGCAAGAGGATATGCCAGTCAGGACAGTGACAGTGACCTTGGATTGATGATTGTGACAGACTCAGACTCTCAAGGGGAAGGGTCACCTGTAAAAATGAGAGGAAACCAAAAGAAGGTTTCTGAAACAATAGATTCTAGTGGTAGCAAAGAAGATAAGTTGCAATTAAAAGAAACAGATCAAGAATCCACAGAGAAGAAAGGTGACGGGCTAACTGAAGGGGAAAATGACAGCAAAGTTATCGAGTCAGCCATGACAGGTATGACCTTGAGGAATAGAAGGTCAACAGGACAGGCCAAAAGTAGCCAGATGTCACCGCCTCCTGTCAAAAGACAGAGAACTGATTCAGAAGAACCTAGAACTGATAAGGCAAAGATGGAAGATAAGTCTGCAACAGATTCACAGAAAAAAGTAACAGATGATTCTTCAGACATCACTGTTCAGGCAAAAGTACCACAAATGACCAAAGACAGCAACGCTGAACCTGGAAAGACTGTTGCAGCAGATCCTGCAGTACAGAGTACAGAGGACGGGGGCGCTGCTACCACCCGCAAGGGTGCAGCAGCAAAGTCTGAATCAGAAGGAAAGGGAGGAGTTTTAGACACTTTGGGACAGATTATGCAACTACAGGAAAATCTGCAAAAGTTCCAGGCAGAGGAAAAACAAGGTGGGACTTTTCGTATTAATGTACTCATAGATGTTACTTTGTTTTGAAATAAATACGTGTTACTTTTGTTTCTATGTTTACCTTCACACAAGGAAAGCATATCTATAATAATTTGTCCCTCGAATGACCTTGAGATTCATTTCTGTTACTTCAGGTCAGGTAAAACCTAGTGTTCCACGAGGCGTGGTGTTACCACGACAACCTTCCTCCTGCCCACAGCCTGCGCCGTCGGGAGTGGAGCAAGCACCACATTCGCGTGAACAACTGGAATACTGCTTACCTGTTGATCTAAAGCTGTGCCAGGAGAACCTTCAGGACTACACCAGGCCTGAGAAGCACAACGTGGTGTACAGCCTCATGAGCTTTGGCAAGCTGTTACTACTGGTCAGGTCTGACCTTCCAGCTGTCAGTAGGACACCTGGGGGGCATTTCAAGGTGAGAGTCAGTACAGTACTTTAATACTGGTAGGTTAGAAAGTACTTGTCTGAAATTTGCAGGAAAAAGACAAAGTTGCTGATAGAATTTACAAAGCAGCAACTAGTAGACTGGCCAAAGAAACTCAAAGCCAGTGTTATTATCCGAGACTGTATTAGGAGAAAAAAGATGAAAATATAATTGTAACAGTCTTCTTCACCTTTGAATTTGTTTTGTCTCCAGTGAATTAAATGATTTTAAAAGTGTACTGAGTAAAGTTGGGTCCTTACAAAATGTGCTAAAACAAAAGCAAGCTGCTTCTGGTAGTTGGAAAAATGTTGAGAAAATATAGATATACATTTTGTATACAACACAACACACTTGCATCTGCAAAAAATAGCCTGTTTAACCATTTTCCTGCTCCAGTGGTTTGCTCATGTCCAGTCCAAGTTGGAGTACCAGCCTGACTTTGGAGTGGAACAGCTGACTCCTGGTGAGATGTGCAGGGAATGGATCAGTACCTACATCATGCCTCCTGACTCACGACTAATCAGAGGTCAGTTTGTAAATGCAAATTATGGAAATGAAGGCTTAATTTGCATAATTTAGGAGGAAATTCTGTAATTACAGTGTTTTACATTATAGTTCATTTGTACTTTCATACATGTTATGTATGTAATCAGTATGGCAGGGGAAACATCAACAGATACCAGTTATGCAAATACTAGCCTAATTTGCATAATTAATGTGAAAATTTTTATTGGTGAATGATGGGAATTTTAAACCTTGTGACATGTGTAACATCACTATGCATGTATTATGTCTGCTTTTTATTTGGGTCATGAGGGAAGAGGTACATTTGTAAGTGTCAGACAAAAGTTCACAAAACATGCAACAGAATAATATTGAATGATGTGTTTGTAATGCATTTTTAACTGAGACATTTTCCCTTATACCTTGCCAGTGAGGATCAATGCCTTCACCTCGGAGGTGATGCTGGTTGAACAACTGAAGCACAACCAGATATTGGACCACAGAGTTCACTTCAGGTCAGGGATATGACCTCTGCCAAGGTCAATAGTTTTTTGGCCCTGGATTGTTTGAGTTCAAAGGGATTTTTCAAAACTGTTGATGTCCAACTCATTGAAATACTTTTTACTATTTTCACAGTATTATTTCATGAAATTTTAATCATGGTTAGGATATTAAAGCTACATTGAATTTCTTGCAGGACATGCTAGAAACTAAATGTTGCGACTAATGCAGTATAGAAAAACTCAACAATTTTGTCAGTTCATGAACCTTCTCCCTAATGCCAAAACCCATAAGCAATACAAACTTGTGCCAAACGGAAATCTTAGCAGGCTGACAGTTAAATATGCAGTTTGAAATTGGAAACGTTTTTTCTTCAATGCTGCTCAAATTGAGAGTCAAACAATGTGGAAAAGGATAAGAAAGATATCAGAATCTTGTTGTTTGACTTAATTTTCTGTGTTTTTGTTCTTAGCCCAGGGACAGCCATGAAAATGTTACTGAGTGTTCTTGAGAAGGTACAGAGTCTTCCACCTGGAGACTTCCTTCTCACTCACAACCCTGGAGATGTCCACATCTGTATCTACCAGAGTCTAGACTCTTCACTCTCCAAGAAGTAAGTCTGGAACTCTTGGAAATCATTCTTTTGTAAAAATGTATGCCATTGGTTGCTGGATTTTAAGCATCCATTAATAGACCAATCCTGACTGTCCATCACAATTATAGTTCAACCAATGAAAGCATGGCAGTTAGCTGGTCAACCAATAAGACAGTGGCTGCATATTTGTTGTTAAATACATGTAGTTGCATATGTGTTTAGTTTGTATTTGTACATTTTGACGGAGCTAGGTGGCACGGGGTATTGTTAAAGACTCAACTGGTTTGCTTGGAAGAAAACCTTATAGATGCTTGATTTCTGGAAGTAGTCATGGCTGTTTTATGTTCTTGTCTTGTACATTAACTGTTTCTGCTCACTTCAGAGGAGCCTATGACCTGCACACTGCTCATCAGCAGGCGGCAGCCACGCCCACCCCAGAGACACGCCCACCCTGGGTACCACTGGACCCCAGCATCATACTGCCACAGGTAGGAACTAGCAACAAGCCAATGCCTAGCAACAAAACGTACTGTGCCTGCGTGAAACCTGGATTTTAAAAAGTTTTTGTCGGATTTTTTGTCAACATTGTATCAGAATTTTGCCGATTGCAGAAGACATCTTTTCCGACTTATCATTTGGAAACTACAGATGGGATGTTAACCTTATACATGTGAATACATCCTTATACGAAACATTCTGCCAAAGTGCTATGCACAATACATTACGGTTTTCGCACAGGTGCAGTATGTTCCGTCAATGTGCTATTAGAGATAGGGTTTAACTGTTTAAGTTTTGCAAGGGAGCAAAGTGTTGTTTTGGCTTGTCTGTGTGTTTTCCAATTTATGTAGTGTAAGCCTCTGTCACACAAAGAGGGCAATGACCTGACCCTCTCCATACCATAATTGGAGGTTAGTTGTGGACAAGGTCATCTGGGAGTTGGTCAGCAGTTTCCTACTAGTCAGCCAACCATAAATTCGTAAAAATCAATGTTTGGAAAGTCATCTTTTACTTGGATACAATCATAGAAGTGAACTGGAGCAAAAATTTGATGGCTTCCAGGCTACTCCCAAGTTCCAACCCAGTGCCAACTTTATTTGGGGTGAGAACAAAGTCCTGAATGTGTGACAGGGGCTTAACATACTTAGTGCTGCTATTTTTGTCTGTGGTACTAGAAGTGTTACAAATCAGTACCGTGCGTAGTCCAGTGCTTAGCGATCCTGCCACTCACCCGACATGCACGCTACTGTTTAGGGTTGCAGTCCTTCGGACGGGACGTTAAGCCGTGGTCCACTGTTCATTGTACTTGTCGAAAAAAGCTAGGGGAATTTCCTGGTACTATGAACCTGTAAATACCGTATATGGCGTCTATCTTATCTGTCATGACCAGTGGAAGATTAGCTCTTCAATGAGCTAAACTGGTTCGAGATCACTTTCACTTTTAAAGCAGTACTGTAGTGACTAGTCTGCTATCGCTGTTTGCCAAAGTTTGTATTGTAATGTCTGTTTTGTAAATCTAGTAGGAATCCAGATAGTAATTCCTTCCATGGCTATAACCAGGTATATTTCAGTCCAAAGTACCATGGTATGGATGAAATATATTGTTTTCTTTTTCTTCTTTCCGCAGCACTGGCAGAATGGACGGGTTCCAGCGACCTTTGAACCCCGACCCCCAAATCCTCTCCCTGTCAAAAAATGGCAGCCGCAGCCTGGAAAGACGAAGGGCAAGAAAAAGAAGAAAAGCAAGAAGACTTAGCCTCCCTATAGCCTATACCAGACTTTGGGAAGCAGCAGGAATGGGTGGAAAACTGTTCTCTTATAACGGACCAACTCCCATGGTATATTTATCATCCATATGGCCAATTTCTACTCTTTCCAGCCACTTCAGAAGCCTGGTAGAGGCTGTGTAAACGTGTAGTATTATAAATCACTTGGAAGTGAAAGGGACAAAAAGACTGCCATGACAGTTTCATATACGTGTACAGTTTTATTTTCTTCACATGTATGTACAAATACAAACATTTTTGCTAGCTTGCTATAAATTGTACAATGTCAAACATATACAGATTCCAAGCAGAAAAATCAACTGTCTTGTCCAAATTTCATCTACAAAAAAGTAGACTTATCTATACATGTGCTTCCATTAATTTAAGCCTATCCAAATGTTGGACTTTTTCACAATTGTAACCTTTTTTCTGTAAGAACAGAATACAGCAAAGAACATGCACCATTTTCATAAATGTGTCATGTGATGCTCTATTTAATAAAAACTGAACCAAAAACAATAAAATACTTCAATGACAGAAGATTCAATACATACTATAATTTAGCTGTATGATGTAGATGCAACAGATGATTCTAATTTTCAGTTAAACCAAATTAAACCCAACATAACTATACTAGTAACGGCTCATAACGTCTTTTGTTTCCTTTGCTGCTTAAAAAATGACTTGGATGTCGATCCAAAGCAAGCCAAAAAAAACACAAAACATTTGTGATTAAAAGTCGTAAATAACTACTACATTCTAAACAAATCAGGAATTTTGTCAACCATTTTAGTACACAACAAAGGATAAGAGACCAACTGCTTTTTGCATGGATGGTCTCGCTAGTTTGAGCAGCAAATTTAAAACTCAATAGACACATGTGTACCTTAGTCTGACAATCACGATTATCATTGAAAACAAACCTGAAATGTTTTGCAAAGTTCCCTTTCAGCTGAAAACAATATGCCTGATGGCTCACATACTACTTTCAATACATGATAAAATTTAATTTGATATGTATTCTTAGAATCCATAATCTTAACTTACTTTTAAACTTACTTTTTTGTTTGTGTGATAAACTTCTAAGGTTTTGTACAGTCAAATATACATGTTGGCTCTTGCTACACAGCAATGTACAGCTTTTTATAAAAGGGTGCACTATTAGAAGAAGTCTACGACTTCAAATTTTGTGCCTTTACAATGTGGATGCATGGAAAAACCGAAAGCAAGGTAAAATAAGTCTTGGAAAAACTGAAACACTGAAACACTACTACCGGAAGAATGACAGATCTATTTTAACAGGACACTGCATCCCCTACTAATATATGGCAGCCTTTGAACCTTTCTGTAATGTATATTGGTGCTTCCTGAGCATCAATGTTCCATAATTAATACTCTTTACTGGCCTACTCTATGGATCCCTGAAATTTGTGGTAACACAGTTTGTGTCTAAATAAAAACCTTTTTTCACTTAAAATGGAAGAGCTCATGGCTGAAAACTTGATTTTTGATGTCTTGGTTGTCCTTCATTCCACCTTCTCCTTGATGGTTGGATCATACTGCAAGAAGGAAACATGGCATTAAATTATGCAGAAGGAAACATGGCATTAAATTATGCAGAAGGAAAAATGGCATTAAATTATGCAAAACTGCAAAACTGACGGTCATAAGAAATCCTAACAATGCCATCGTTTCTCTATGCTGACTAGCCTTGAAGTTGAGCTTTGGAAAGAGGATTTAACACTGTACATGTAAGTCATAATCATGGAAACTCTTGAGACAATTTTACAGACAAAATTTTGCTGAATCTTGATGCTTTGGTCTACTGGGCATTTGTCTAAAAAAACTAGTACTTGAAGCACTTTTATTTTTCACATTCCTCGTATAACACGTTTTTTTCTGTATCCTATCTTTGATGGGCTAGCTAGCTTGTCACACCAAACAAGGCAGCAAGCAGACAGCTAGAAGATCACATTACAGGTATCACATGCTTTCCTGCACGTGAACATCTTTATAAAGACTGCTGACTCATTTTTCATGGTACCACAAGTAGTTTTAAGTTTTAAAACAGGAACTCCATTTTGCATTTGGTTCAGCCAATGCCTGTCAATGCCAACAACATTCAATTCTGCTGTGCATAGCATAGTACCACATAATTTCAATATTCTTAAATTCTATAGCGATTTTTAAGCATTTTAAATGGATTTTGTGAATTGTCTACTTTTATCTGGACTTAACAAGTTAACAACATGCACCCTGCAGAAATTTACATACACAAACGCCAAGTTGAAAAGCTGACCTTTAGCATGTTAAAGGTTAAACAGTTCTTCCATGTAACTCTCCCAAATATGTGAAGGTCAGACACAGATACACCCTTGCCATAAGGAGCTTCAGATGTCCTAAAAATTGTTCTCTCAAAATAGGAACTGGTGGTGAGAGAATAGTTCTGAGTGTCTACTTGGAAAGGAAACTGCCGTGCAAATGAAATATTGAGGGAAATCGTATAATTTTTCCTGACCAGTGCTGGAAATAATTTTTTCTGGATAACAATTTTTTTTTTATTCCAACATGTAATCACCAGACGTGGTGACGACACACTCAAGTTTTTTCAACTTATATCAATGCCGCCACCAACACAGGGGACAAATACATGACAGGGCAATACTCATTTACACCTGAGCTAAGTGAGGAAAGCCGTGTAAAGTGCCTTTTCCAAGGGCACAAGATCGGTGGCATGCCAGGACTCGAACCCGGGACTCAAAGTTCCGAGTCGCGCACTCTGCTGCTACGCCACACGACCCCACAAAGGTATAACAATTGATTCTAGTGATAACTCGGCCAACCATAAATTTGAAAAAAAATCAGTCCTGAAAGATCATTTTCAAGGAGACAGAACCTTTGGGCTACTCCATTTGTTTGTGAAGAGTGATTTAGTCAGTAAGTATTTTTGGCACAAGTAGGGAATGTCTCAGTTGAAGAAATCACTGATTTACAGTGTGACTGAACTCACCAATGCCAGTTGTCTGCCTATGTTGCCCATTGTGACCCCTCCGGAAAAGAAGATACAAGGTAGCCAGGAGCGAACGTACAAGAAGTCTGGTTCTGTATATCTGGAGAAACAAAGTCATATATTTTTATTATTTTCATTGCCAATTATTAAGATCTTCAAAAATTTCAAACAAAACAACATACTAATTAATGTTACAGTTTTGTACAGTGTCTAATATCGTTGGGATTTACACTTGTATAATAATTGAAGAAACTTTTGATTTGTTTTGAATGTAATCATCAAAAACTGTTTTTCACATCACTTAATTTCATATTCACAAAAATATCAGTGAAAAACGTATTCACTTCTTTTACACAGTACATTGTAAATGCAATTGTTCATGTTATACTGAAAGCGTTTTTAATTTGCTCTTACCTATAGACATCATTGTAGACCAAGAGTTGTGTAACAAATGTAGCCAGTACAGCGATGAGAACTCCCAGTCCAAACCCGCTCCGTGACCTGTCGAACAGCCACCACATCCCAATAGACATGGCCGCCAGCGTCAGCGACAACTGCATGTTATTGTCAAAATTGATTTTCTGGCAGTAGAGTCAAGGATCTTTCCTTTTTTCGCCAAAATTTCTAACATTTAGCTTAACGTGGTTTCTAATCTTAGCCGTAAAAATTAAATTACTTCACTATATCTGCTGAACATGTAACCTGTAGTTAGCAAGGTTTATGTATTTTATGTAGATATGTAAATATTGTACATTTGGGAATGCATCTATGGCAGCCACACCTATGCTGCAATGCAATGTGAACCAGTCAGAATTGCCCTGAGGAAGGTGACAGACGGTCACCGAAACGTCGGCTGAATAAGAGACTTGGTTGTGTGAAAATAGTCCCTTTACTCAAGGTTTAAATAGATTTTTTAAGATTTTAGGACCATAAATTTATCCACTGTTTTAGCTTGAAGGATGAAACAATTAGTACAGTAGTCATACAATAGATATGGATACTTGTGGTGTCATGAATTTGCAGTGGAGATCTTACATGTACCAGCAAAATGAAACCTCTGGGAACATTTTACCACATAAAATGTTTGCAGTAGTTTTCATGGAAACCTCTTCACTGCAAAAATTTACAATGTACATTTGATAAAGTACATCTCTTTTGAAAAAGGATACAGCACTAGCGTGGTTGATCCCTACAAAGACGGCAACACATCTCATGACACTGGACCACTCCCTCTGGAACCTGTGGGGCTCTCCCAACTTGTTATCCAAACACGGGTACATCAGACCGATGATGGCTGGAAAAATTAAAAAAAAAACACCAAGTGTTTGTTAACTGTTATTGTACTGGATGATTCAAAATTGCTAAATGTTGCAGAATATTTCTTACAAAAATTTAACCAAGATTGGCAAGATCACTAGTTTTAGTTTGATAAGTAGCAAACAAGTTTTCAGAGTTCTCAACACGCTTGAATATTTGCCTGGTGATTTGTATCGGTAATTTTGAAAAAAAGAGACATAACAAAGAACACCCCTATTTTTCAATAGAATGTTCCTTACCTGCTCCTGCTCCACAGGCTGGCGGTACCCACCAGGCAGACTGGAACATTGTAATCATTACCTCAGGGGGGAACAGGGTCACCTTTCTTTGAACCTACATAGGAATGTATTTGGTAAGTGTCTTCAAATGTACGTATATGTTCATGTTAGTATGTTCTCAAACATAAAACAAAAGTAAATCTTATATTCAGAAAAAATTTCCATAAAATTTAGTTTCCATAAAATGCATGTTCTTTTGCTTGTTTGGAATTGACAGATTTTTATCTGTTGCAATACATACCATTATTATTATATTTATAATTAGATGCATTGCAATGTATGGAAGGAAAATATGTGGGTAGAAAACTGTACACATACCTGAAGTAAGTTGAGCACTATGGTCAGAAGTCCTCCCACCATGAAGAGCACAGATCCTCGCATCAGTATGTGCAACCCTTTCAGTACCCGAGCAGCCACCATCTTGGCCAGTTGTTATTATATATACACTTGGCAGAAGGAACCAGGGCTAGAAGGATCTAGCAAAGGGCGTGTCAGCAGCTATGATGTCTGCAAACCTGGAAAAAGAAGAATTACATAATGTCATTGTAATAGGAAAAGACAGACTTTAAGAAAATTCCTAAATTGAAAAATGTTCTGTTTTGACATAAGAAACAGAAGCCATACCAAACATACCAAAATCAATAAAACAAGATGTTACATTATCATATCAAACATACTTGCTGTAGAAGAGAAAGTCTTGGAATTCTAACTGTCATGGGATAGTATTTCTTCAACAAAGAGTACTTGAAATTAATTTTAAACAACAGGTAACTATAATACTTCTTTTTCTAAATCATTAACACCAAAATCTAGCTATAGGAAGATGAAAAATGAACAGAATAGTATACCTTACATTACAATAATTGAATTCATTTCCGGAGTCTATAAGGTAAGGTACCTTTATAAAACCGTTAAGTACTGGTAAACACTAGAGACATCTGGTTTCAAACCTGATTGTGCTACGTTGGCAGCCAACGATAGCATGCCAAAACTCAATTGGTGCCAGACATGTCTAGCACTGGTAGCTAAGGTTGGAAACTCTTGACCCTAGCTGTCTAAGACACTGAGATACCAGTATTAGTGATGTTACACAGTTGTCTACCATATGTGGAAGTCTCTGGATGGCATACGAACATCGCTAGTTTACATCAAGACTACAGTAACTCAGTTAAAATTAACGTCCTTCCCGCACCACATGGTGCATAAGGCGGCACCCATCTCCGGTTCAGTAGCCCTTGGGCCACACAGTTGTGCAATCACTACAGCAGGGGGCTAGTCCACTGGTAGTGGTGTGTGTACCATTTTTAAAGTCTTTGGTATGACTTGGCTGGGGATCGAACTCACAGCCTACCAAATGCAGGGCGAGCACTCTACCTACTTGGCCATTGCATCTCACAGTAACACAGTAACTCAACATGCATGAATACTAGCACTCTTGAAAACCTGGGACAAGAAATAACAAAAGGAGACACTGCACTTTTTCTGTAATAATTTAACTGAAAAAAAAACATATCTAAGCGCATTCACACCTGGCCACTATGAACAATAAAACATTCATTTAAACCTCCTCATAAATTAACCTGTAAACCAACTAACTTCCCAACAAGCCAACTTGCCAAACAAACAACCAACCAATTAACCAACCAGGCAACCAACCAATTGCACAACCAATTGAATTAGGGAATATGGCGTGACTCTTGTTTATCACATTTCAAGTGGCCCTAATTTCGAGACAAACAATAAGTCGCATTAAACAAACAGGTATGGCAAAAACATGTGACTTAGGTCATTGTGACCTGTATAAAGGGATGCTTATCTGTAAATCTGCAACTGTTGGCATAGCATATAAATTATAATACAACAAAATGTCTGAAAAATGTCGTCAATTTATGTGAAAAGCAACGTAACAAATCAAGAATCTAACAAGTAAATGTCAGTTAAAACTTTTTGTCATACAATGTTATATAAAACATTACATGACAACTTGACAAGGTAGCATTTCATGTAGATAACAAGTTGCTAGGTGATATGGGGTGACTCCTGCTTATCAGAAATGGCCCCCATTTTGAGACAAACAGGTTTAGGCAGTTGGTGGGAACATGTGACTTTGGTCACTGTGACCTATATGTACATAGTGCACTGACGTGGCTTTTAACTGAAATAGCATACGTTCTCTTAAATTTGAGGTACTGTACATGTACAGTAGCAAAGTTACTGTATGTGCTGACCAATACTGGCATCACTACTGATTATGATACTCCTAACTATTGTCTGAAATATCTTTAGTTAAAGATTCTTATTCTTAGATAGGGTTACAACTATCTGACTCTAATTGCACTACATGGCCTTTAATGTATACATACACATAGACATGTAACGTTATTATGATATAATCACATTTTCTAGCTAAAGCCTGTCCCTAGAAAAGAATACCTGTCAACAACATGTTAACAACTTAACAACAAGTTTTCAAACAAAAGTTAGACTGAACTTCTAAACGTCTACTCTGTCAAAATCCTTTCAAAAGTTTTCACCAACAAGAAGAGAAGACCATACCTTGTTAGGCACCTAAAAGCAGTCCTTGTCTAACTAACTTGCCCGCAAATTCACTTTTAAGGGCAACTTATGTCATCTAATTTGATCATAGATGTTTCTGTGTTCTGATTGGTTGGCAGTATGAGGTCATATATGGTACCATGCTTCAAGGGCAGCATAGACCCTGTAAACCTTGGAAAAGTCAAATCAGCCAATCAAATGGACCAAACATACCATCTGTTACCATGACAACAAGGTGATGGTGAGAGAAGGGAGCCAGCTGATTGGTCAGTCAAGGTCATGTGATTTCAGCAGCTCACCGGTTACCAGGCAGGGCAAAAAAATACCAGGTGAAACCTTGGCCATGTCAAAGTCCAGGTACAACTTGCGTCGTCATCATCAAAGTCCAACAACTACCTAAAACAAACAGTTGTGGATTTAAACTTTAAATGAACCCTTGTGTAAAAAAGGGCAGAACCCATCTTGTCAAATCTAGACTGCCAAAGTCCATATGTTTCAGAGTTCTGCTGCTGAAAAAACAGAAAATCTGTGTGTGTAAAATATCTGCATAAGATATGCAAATTGAACAATTCCCACAGAGATAAAACAAGTTTTTTGAAGAAAGAAAGGGTTATGAAAGTATACATGTATTTCTATTCTAAGCAGTTTCCAAATTGTTCAGCTTTCATGGAAAATTTCTTTGAAAGTCTTTGAAAACTACTTTCCAAGTAGAGGTTTGCAATTGGGTTTTGGTCTATTTTTGGCGTGTTTTAGGCTTTTTTATCGGGCTTTCTTTTTTACACCTTGTGTTGGCATTAAAAAAAAAGTGCAAAAAAAAGAAAGCCCGATAAAAAAGCCTAAAACACGCCAAAAACAAACCAAAACCCAAACCTCTGCTTTGAGAGAATTGGAGAGAAAATATGCAAAAAGGCACTTGTAAAAGTTATATTGAAGTTTTTGAGAAGAGGGTGTCACACAAGAGAACAGTTGGTGAACCTTGTCCCTAAGTAGCCTGTTGTTATCATGTGATGTGGGGTGATACTGTGGGGTTTATATATCAGCATAGACCTTTACACATCCTTAGTTATTTGTGGAGGTAAATAAACTGTTGACAAGTGAACTGTTACTGGGTCATGGGACAGCCATAGGCATAGCTAACAGTACTATACTGTGCTCACGTGTTTAGCTGTCACGTGTGAAATCTTGACTGATCGGACAATGACACCTTAGCATAGGGGTAGGACCAGACGTTAAGATTGGGTCTTGACTTAACGAACAATGACACCATAAGGAGAATGCTAGACTAGTCTCTTACATCTTTGAAACTTCAGTTGAAACTTCTTGCACCTATACGTGACAATCAGAACGACAAGGTTGATAATGACTTCAAAGGGATAGCAGTCACTATTATCAACACCGTGATAGGGCTACACACTTAGCCTGGGTTCCAGACCCATAGCACACTGGACACAAAATATCTCAGCGAGCCAGGCTCCCTGAGATATTTTGTGTCCAGTGTGCTATGGGTTTGGTACCCCAGGCTACTACACACTGAGTATATTACTATAAAAAAATAATATTGCGTATCTACTATCAACCCAAGGACTTTGAATGATCGAACAATGACACTATAAGGGTAAGACTAGGGGCACTCCAGTTCAGAACATAAAATGTACATCTACTCTTAACCACAAAAAAAGGCTACTACATCCATCCTTTCCACATTCAATGGTAACGTCAATGTTGCATAAATGCATATACGACCACAAATATGCGCTAAAACTTTTGAAATTCTACACAGCTAAACAATTATAGGAAATGTTGTCGTTGTTGTCCTTGCTTAATGCCTATCATCTTGCTGGATGTCAGCATCTCTAGGTGCAGGTTTCACTTGGTTCAGATTCACGTCAATGTTTGATCATTTGGTGACTTAAAATCATGAAAACTTGGAATCTACAGCCCTGGTGTTGATCAGCTGGTGTTGATGGCAAATAAGAAAATACCTACACAAAATACCCTCTCAAATTATGCTTCCTTATATCCCCTGAACTTTTACTCTACTGTAACCATCAAGACTATTACATATCCTTGCAAGAACATTACATAATATACATTATATAATGTCCTGGATCCTTGTAAGAGAAAAACAAGCTTGAGTTGAGGTCAGGCCAAGACAAAGCAAGAATCTTACCACCAAAAATTTCCATAATCTTTTTTAAAAATCGCACATTGCACTAAGCCCTTCATCACATGACTACTTCTCTAAGAATTAAGTTTGTCTACGAAGGATCTTCACGCCTGGACGACTGAATAACACACACGTAAGAAGTTACGTAACCGTCTTGAACGTCAGACTTTCGTCTTCAAAATATCATCTGGAGAACAGAAACTAAAATGGTGGACACAGTTATCCCACTGAAAATATCTCTTACCTATACAGTAAGGCGCCCCAGTGACGTTCTATGGACGTTAGTACGTAAAGCTACAAAGTCTCTACTTCAGGGAGTTTTAAGACTTACCTCACGGGTCCTAGGTTGGAAGAAAGCGGGCTAGAAAGTTGGGAAATGCCGCAGTTGAGTGTGGACATCACACGGGGTTGCACGTAAACATTGCGGCCCGGCGGCGCGTCAGGCTGGTGTGATGCCGGCTGACCAATCAGCGCGCGGCGCGATGACATCACGCCATGGCCAGACCGGGGATCACTTCCGGGTGGGGGCGGAGCCACGTGGGCCGGAGGGGTGGGGACGGTTTTGGCGCGAAATTTCGAACTTTTAAATGTCGACTTCTTAAATAACTGCAGAAACGATTGCCTAAGGCACGCACCACACACACGTGTATACACATACACGCATGAATATACACACAAGACACATTCCTATATGTGAGTATATGGCAATCTTATTTTATGCAAATTGTTTAGATATGAAGAATTGTTATTTGGTAACTTAATACATGTGTTGAATCTTCGGACAACGAAGCCAAGCTAAGAAGAAGAACATGTGTTGAATTCTTATTATTTTGCACAAAAGCTTGGTGCTAATGTGTTTAATTAAGTGATTTTCGACAAAACTTCACCACACAGCAGCCCTTCAAACATGTGAAAAGAAGTGATTTATTGCAAACATAAGTACAGTGTACATGGATTTTTTACCATTATTTGCCTACGCAGCAATATTGAATCTGATTCAAACTACCAGCAAATCGCTGACAGAAAGAACCTACTCATACAAAGGTGATAATTGCAAAAGGCATGTTTCTAAAATTGATTTACATGTACTTTAATGCTATATAACATTCTCCCTTACTTGAGTATTACATACCTAACCCTTGTCCTGCTGAGCGCAACATATGTCGTTCTGCAAATACAGTACCATCTATCTATATAACACCCTGTATAGGTACGATTTGGGGGTATTTCTCATGCAACGCATCACACCGCAGCGAAACGAATGCGGAAGTAACTATGCCACTGCAGGGCAAAAAAATTTGGGGGTCTATGATCTAATTAAGACATGAAATTATTGAAAAATATTGTGCCAGGAATGCCAGCAGGACAAAGGCTAAGATGTATACATACCTCTCTAACACACACTAGTATTAATAATGCAGCTATATAGAATTTTAACAAAGCATTTTAATACAAATATAGGGCTTTTATCATTGCTTTTATATTTTTCTATCCTTGACATAGAAAAGTTTTTCACTGGGCATTAACTGAGGTGGGAATAACACAATATGGATACAAACTGAAATCTGGATGACTGTATGTTCCTTTTATTATCTCAACTGTAATAATGAATTAAACATACTATTCTACATTCAAAGCACCATTTGCGCAGCTTACTACTCCGAATGCTATGCTACATTTTATTGGACTAGAATACAGTATACCAGAAGAATTCATATCATACAAAACCAGCAAAATAAAATTTCATGGTCCATTTGATAGACTTTTTTTACTTTTCTATAGTTTGTTAGTCAGTTGAAATGGCACATTCTTTCACAAGATTTAAAATGAAAATTTTGCATGGAAAACATTAGCTAGGTTTTCCCTACCTGTATTTGAAATTATGATGCTAAATAAATGATAAATTTCAAAGGAAATGACATAAACAAAAAATATAGGTTTATGCATAAATACGATGCAAAAAATACTTTGCAAAATGTTACTTTAAGCTTATGTTTCTTGCACAATTGTGCAATAAAATAATATATTAGTATGCACCTACACCAGAATAAAATATAGGAAAAATAAAATATATAAAATAAGTAAATATAAAGTATGTCTACTACACTGTAAATAGATATCTACATGTAGCAGCTTGTGAGTCATAGCTGTCGAAGCAAATAAAATAGCAGATGTTGACACTGTACCTATAGTATCTAAAAAGAGATACAAATTGTATTGCTTTGTAAAGTGTTTGTAAAATGTAACCTCATTATTTGACTGTCTTTAACCCTGTGAGTAGGCATTCTTATCTTGACATAGCCTGGAGTCCAGCCTTGTTAGCTTTAGTCTGCTCCCCAAGATCCGCTATCCCGCCAACAAGACTGGGTACCATTACAGCAGGCGTCTTTGCTGAAAATATGTTTAACTTTGAGCGCCGTGATTGGCTATTTGGAACAGGGTCCTTAGAGGCGAGGTCTAATATCATCATCAACATGGCTGCCGCACAGTCATGTGGACTCTGCAATTTTGGGGAGCGGACTAAAACTAACAAGGCTGTACTCCAGGCTATGAACAACAGGGCTTTCGCAAGAATTCAGTGGCGTAATAATATAGAATCTTACTCTATTGAGCTGTCAGAAAAACTAGTCGAGTACACCTATACTGAGTGCCTTCATTCAATTGGAATGTTTAGAAAATAAGAGCTTTGGTCCTTTTACGGTAACAATTCAACTTATCATGATCATGAGTAGCAATGGTCATGAATATTTATGACCATTTTGATTCATAGCTATTACCTGTACTTTAATAACAACTTCTTAATTCATAGTGAGAATCATGTACGGACTTACTCTACTTTTTAATTCTTATAGTTTTTCAAGTTTTGGAAGTTTTACTGATCCAAAGGTAAATACTTCCCAACAAATCAATGGAACATGGATTTGAAAAATACTGTTGCAAAGATGTTACCTATATGTGTGCTTTATAAAAACCCTGTGAACCCAGTTTACAAAAATATTTTCAACTTTCTGTACATAGTGTATAGCAGTATGTTGGTGATACAATGTTTGTGAGCTATCTATTGAAATTGCTGTTCTCTTTTCCTTTAGCATTCGTTCCCATTGAGATTACCATTTGAGAAGGGCTTTTTTATTTTCTTTCCAATGACTTCCACCTGGAAGCCCATTTCTGTCAAAGCAGCGTGATCCAGGATCATACGACCATCGAAAACGAACGCTGGTTTCAGCATACTGCGATAGATACGCTGGTAATCGTACGCCACAAACTCGTCCCACTCCGTGCACACCACGAGCGCGTGCGTCCCTTCCAGAGCCTTGTACGGGTCGGTCTCTATGGTAACCAACTTCTCCACGCGGTCTGGGTCGTCGGATATGATTGGCTGCTTCAGATCGTAGAGGATCTGTTCTTTCTTCACCTGTATGTAAGAAAAACATTTAGTGATCATGCATACATTAGTGTATTTGTTGTGATTGTGATTTAAAGAACATAAGCCAATGAAGCATTTGAACCTTCTTCCCGCAAAATATACATGTACATGTATATTTTGTACATGACAATTAACTCTCTGCAATAGTTCCCATTCCAATCTAGTTCATTACGATAGTTCAGAGAAAATCTGGCATATGTAGAACTTTATTGCAAGCCTTCTGTTCAGACATACCTTGATGTAAGCCTTGTTAGCAACAAATAAAAAGAACATGAAAAAAAATAAATGTTTTGCATGCAAAACAAAATAAAACTACATGAACCATATGAAGTCAAGTTGTAGGCCAACTAAAGTCAGGACAACAGAAAAACCAGACCTAGCTATACTATCTACTGCACAGAGAACTAGACATTTGGATCAAGGCAACCTATACCCACATATCTGACAGATATTAAATCTAGTCACTATTAATTTAAGTTTGGATGCTGAAAAATGACCAAGCTGTCCTAAGTGTTGTCTTGTTTACGGTCAATGAGATTGCCTTATTTGGAACAAGCCAATCAGCTACCTGAAGACAAGATTTTGGCAATCTGATTGGCTGACAGCTGGTTGGTAGCCACTCCCCCAACAGTGGAAATGTCAGCTTGAATTAGCAGAGTTGAAACATATAAACTGGCAGGACAATGTCCCTACCTGTGGATCGTAGATGTGTAAGTGAGCTCCCTCGTCCATCAGGTACTTGCACACATAGATAGAAGATGACTCTCTTGTATCACCTGTTAGCAAACAATAAAAACATGAAATCTTACCACACCTAGTTTACCTGGGGTTTCCTTCTTTGTGAATATGAATCGCAAGATTTTTATTAGATGGAAGAGAAGTTAATGGTACATGGTGCACTTTCACAATGCATGACCAAAAATTTTGCTTGCCTGAAACATACTATATGGGTTATTCATATTGATGATCCAAAATTGTTTTTTTTTTAAATGCTACAAACTTTTGGACCTCCTCTCCTACTTAGAAAAACAAGTAATTCCTTCTAGAAAGATTTTACTATGAACATGTATATGAGGGTGCATTTAAGTCCATGTTATGTATTCTTCACAATTGGTAAGATAAAAAATGTCTACCTGTGTCTTTTTTGAAGGCGAAACCCAGAATGGCAATTTTCTTGCCAGTGACAGTGTTGAAGAGGCACTCGATGATTCTGTTGGTGAAACGCCTCCTTTGGTAGTCATTCATGTTGATCACCTGTGTGGAAGGTATTATTATTTATTATTATTTATTATTATTTAAATTCTTTTCTTCTTTAGTGAGAGGAAGGTTGATACATAATAAAGTATATTCTTCTTAACCTATGGCATTACATCTGGCTCCCACCAAGCCCCATGTCTACCCTCCTAGGTTGTCCACCCTCCTAGGATTTTGCAAAACCCCCATGTTTATCCTCCAGGTTCAATACGTCCTTCTGGAAACAGCTTCCAGCAAACCCCTTGTCTACCTTCCTAGGTTACTAGTATCTACAAAACCCCCATGTTTATCCTCCTACCTCCTGCCAGTATGCTGCCACCTCAGGTAGGTTGAGTGCCTCACACAAGTACACCAGGTTTAAAACGTCCTTCTGGAAGCAGCTCCCACCAAACCCCACACTGGCCTTCAGGAACTTGTTTCCTATCCTACTGTCCATGCCTGAGAGGGAAAAGCCATGAGTTAGTCATAATCTTTCCAGCACAAAAGTTAAGTGTACACAATGATTCATAATGTTTTAATAACAGATCAATCTTTTAAAACTGGATCATTTTGTTTTTGCCCCCCCCCCCAAATTTATATTGGTTACCACATTAGGCAGCAGGGAGAAGGTTAATAGATCAATAAACAACCAAGTACTGTAAGGACAACCTCATTGACAGAACAAACAAAGCTTTTAAATCTGTTGAACACAGTCATCCCCCACCTATGGCATGTGCCACCTCCGAGACATTTGCGCCCGTAGCCTCACACACTGCGGAGATAGAGTTGATGCTGCTGATTCGCTGAGCCAGGAAGGCGTTGGCTGCCAGCTTGGAGAGTTCTGAGGACCACGTGTTGGTGGTGAGGATCTTTTCACGTGGAACCCAGTTGGCGTACACATCTGCAAGGGCCTGGGAGGAAGCATGTCATTGTTAACCCTCACACTACTGTACGTCAATTCATTCATCAAAATCCCACTTCTGACACCATGTACAAGTACATTATTAGATCTGAACATCATACAACATTACAGTACAAAAATTGTGAATCTTACATATTGCTTTAAATGTGATACAGAAACATAAAGCTAAAAGGAAGAGTATCCTTTTTCTTCTCTTAGACATGAATTTGGTTATTCTTGGGCCCAATCTGGCAAAGATTTGTTGATTGACCTTTGTTAAAACTTGTCAATCAAACAGCATGCACCAATCAGAGACCTACCTGAACTGCCTTGTGCCCCTCCTCTGTGTCCTCTCCACCAATCAGCACTCGGTCTGGATTAAGTAGATCCTTCACCGCTGTGCCTTCTGCAAGGAACTCTGGGTTGGACATCACCTAGCAAAAAAATTAAACAAAAAAAGGGTCAACCTTTCTGGTTTTCACAGATTGAATCAGTCTACACAATACCATTATTCAAACAAGAAACAGGATCACCTAAAAATAGGTTGCATTCCAATATAATGCTTACCTGAATGTTCATATCTTCCCTTGTGTTTGCAGCAAGAATCCTGCTGATGCTCTCTGCAGCACGGACTGGCACTGTGCTCTTCTCTACTACCATCTTGGTACCTGAAGGCATTTACAAACACAAACACAGCTCTCTGTTACTAGTACTATATGTATGATGTTTTGCAATACTGTGTGTGGCACAGGGATGCCTCCTAGCTGATTTATACAGAACTGCAACACATTGCCAGCTATTATCTAAATCACAAGAAAGGTATTTGTATATAAGCATCATTTCATGGCTAGTGTTTCAGCAAATCCTGTCAGTTCTTTACTTGAAATATCTACACAATCATTACGTTCATACATGGCCTGCTTGTTTCTTTCTTTTTGTAGAAAAAGTAGTATCAGTAGCAAGCAAACCTGTTCCTGATACAGACTGGAGTTAAGAGTGAGAGTACAAAACAAAGTTTTACAAAAACTGAGCATAGAGTGTAGTACAAAAACTGACTGTAGAGTGAGTACAAAACAGTTTTACAAAAACTGAGTGTAGAGTGTAGTACAAAAAACTGAGTATAGTACAAAAACTGAGTGTAGAGTGTAGTACAAAAAACTGAGTATAGTACAATGTACAAAAACTGAGTGTAGAGTGTAGTACAAAAAACTGAGTATAGTACAAAAACTGAGTGTAGAGTGAGTACAAAACTTACACAGTAGTTCATTTAAGCGATGTCCATTTCAGTACCAAGGAAACACACCAGGGGTACAAAATCTACCAATTTTCTTTGGTCATATCAAAGAAATTTAAGAGTGAGTCCAAAAGTATTACCTGTTGCTACATCTGCAATCTTCCTAGCAGCTGATTCGATGTACTTGAGGTCTGCTGCTCTGCCCTTCCCCACACCAAATGTCTTGGTTGGTGTGTTCACACAGATGAAGATAAGATCAGCCTCCTGTAAGCACAGATTACATGTAGGTGGGATCATGTAACCGGCTGGTTTATACATGTGGGAAGTCTCAAGATAGGGACCTACATCGTGACTGGCTCTCTAAGACACATGCCCGTAGCCAGGATTTTGAATGGGGGGTTCTTCCCACTGCTAGAGGGGACCTCGAGCGCCGTAGGCGCGAGGCGAGCGCCGAAGGCACGAGGTTCCGTAGGGGGGTCCGGGGGCATGCTCCCCGGAAATTTTGAAAAATGAACCTTCTAAAATGGCATTTCGTGCGTTTTTGAGAGGATTTTCAAGAAAAAATCAGAGATAAATTTTTATTCAATGACAAAGGGAGCAGTTTTTCTACGATTCCAGTCCATCTTTTCAAGAAAAATCTTGGACCTTTACATAAAAGTGGACCAAAAGTGGACCTTTACATAAAAAGTGGACCAAAAATGGACCTTTACATAAAAAGTGGACCAAAAAGTGGACCTTTTAGCCTTGTGGGGGGGTTCGGAACCCCCCTGGCTACGGGCATGAGACAGGTATTACACAGCTACTAGCCTGGTTACCAAAGCTATTTTAGCTTCCGCGTTGCTATCCACTTTTCAAACAGGGAGAGCATGAAAACTTGGGAGCCAAAATAGTTTTGGTAACCAGGCTACACAGCTACTAACTGTCAACCTCATAACGTTCCCGAACAGATATTAAAAATCACAAATGTCAGTGGACAAAGTTGGCTGATATAATTTGAACAGCTGTCTTAAAAAGACATGAAAAAATTAATCAACTGATATAGGGCTTAGCTAGCCTGATTAAATCGCTTTTGCCGGCCGCCCAACATCCAGCCGGCCCCCGGTGGCGGACTATGTAGGGAGCCCCTAGCCTCCTTTGCAGGCCCCGCGGCGGTGGGGAAGAGTTTTTTAACGCGTTATTTTAATATAGCCGGCCATCCTACATAGCCGCCAAGAGAAGGTTGCTTTCCGCCCACTAGGGAGCCCCCCGGAGCTTGGGTTGCATAGGCTAGGGCTTAGCACTATCAACCGAACTTCCGAACTGAGAATTTAGTACAAGAATTACATATGCATGCATGCAGCATAGTCCTAAATGTTAACAAATGTTAAAGTTTAGCGGTTCTGCTGAAAAAAAACAACAACATTTTACGATTGATCTGCATCCAGATTTTGTATAAAACATTACTGCACTTGTACTTTGTCCTCAGTTGATGAAGGCTATACACCAAGGACTATTCCTACGTTTTTGAGTTGTGTTTTTTATAAACAGACTGACTCTGCTACAACATGATCTCCTTTCCAAGGCCCTGCCTTGACCTAAGGTCATTACCTTTATGGCTTTATCCACATCTGTTGAGAAGAAGAGGTTCCTTCCCCTGCAGTTTTCCACCAGGTCCTGCAGGCCTGGCTCAAAGATGGGCAGCTGGTCCGAGTTCCAGGCATCAATACGGGACTGGCTCAGGTCCACTACAGTTACCTGAAGTTGGACAGACCGTAAAAGAAAATCATCATACACCTCAGAGTAGTGCTGTGTTCCTAAACCCACGTTCAGACCCAGTTCCGGATTCAATTCCAGGGGTTTAGGTCCAGGTCCGGACTTACAAGTCCCAGGGCATACAGTATACAAAATATGGAAGGGACTTCTCAGTTAACATTTCCCAATGGAAAATGGGAGTCATCTTTACCCCAAAATTTTGTAGCGAACACTGCACTACCAGGGTTTAGTTCTAAGCAAGATATGTTGTTTGTGGGGCATGTCTGGGCAAAACTGTGGCCACATATTCTATGGAGGCTGACACTTAATGATGCTCAATGGCAATAATTTCTTCATTTTGCTGTGCAAAATCATTCTTGACACTATCAGCTTCATTAATTTTCCCCCTTATAATCTTTTTTTCTTTTCTGCTTGTTAATAGCAGCAACAACTACCTCTCTTTGTCAACAATAGACAGTATCTGTGACTTGTACATCTACATTTAACCAATTAACTTTAGAAACGATGTTTGAAAAGCTGCAAATACATGTAAAACAGTAGCATCCATCTAGTAGAAGCAATCCCACATTGACCAGTAGACCTGTTGAACGGGTTACAATACTGGCACACAATCTAGACAGCAGCTTCTGACATCAAAATTAAATGAGGGCACCAGTAAACAATAAATAAATTGCATGGATAAGCCCAAATGTCGAAGAATCAGTTGGCTGGGTCTGAAAGAAGAAGGGGTGTGTACTTTTCTGTCACTTTTGTTACTACAGTTTGTATTCTAAACAAATAAGCCTTTCCACTACAGTAAGCCCATTCAGGCTTGTGTTTAGTACATATTTGAATACTGGTTAGGAAGGTCAGTCAAAAGAACTGTGCCATCTTTTTCTATAAAACTGTAAGGTTTAAGTAACATTACATGTATGTAGCCAGAAAAACCTAAGGAGAAAAATATGAGGATTGGGTATCTATGGAATTGATATTTGATAATTGATAATATTATTTGATACATATTATATTAACATCATCTATTTTAGAGATTTACAAATGTATTACCAGGTGTGTCTTTGGTGTATTCCAGAGTAGAATTATATATATCACAGCATAGATTTTTGAAACTTTCTTTATCATAGCAATGAAATCTCCTTGGAAATTATAAATGGTTTAGATTCTAACTTGGTATGGATTCTTGGATAAGCTGCATTTTTTTTACATTGATTTCAAATAATGGTTTTCAGTTAACCTGTCCCAGCAAATATAACCAAGGAGGTTTAAAATCAATGATTTTAAACCTCCTTGATATAACCAAGCAAATCAATGTCAATTAATCAATCATGCAGCAGGAAGTTGTCAGTTAAACAGGATGTTTCACTATAGTCAAGGCCAGGAAATAACAGAGGCAATGTTTCTGTTGGGTGGGACTGCCCTAACCCAAACCTGACTCACACAGACATTCCATAGCTTTTCACTTTCTGACCACACCTAGGAGATAGAAGCAAATATTACCACCATTGCTATGGTGATAGACCTTTCTGAGGGCCTGCAAGGGGGGGGGGGGGTCCCGACAACGCTCTACGCTGATAAATTCCAAGTGGCTACAACGCATTACGTAGACTTAAAACGGCGAATACGCTCTATGCAAAATGCGAAGAGCGGTCCGTCTACGCTCTACGTAGAATTAAAATGGCCGATTACGCTCTACGGAAAATGGCTTACGGGCCCCCCTTTATGGTTTGGCCTTTCACAACAAATCAAGTTATCAATTTTGACCAATGAAAATACTAGTTTTTCACTATAATGTTAAGGACAAAACACAGTTTTGAAAGCTTTTCAATTAACATTAGCCTAGTGTTCAAAAATATTGCTGTGGTTTGGATTTTGTTTGAACAAGAAACATCCAGCCAGACTTTCCATATGGTGAAACCCAAGATAGGTCTTAGACAAACTCCTGGAGTGGAAAGAATTAAAAACAGGTTTTCAAGTGAGGTGTGAACAAATAAGTTCTGTCAGAGGAGCAAGGCAAGGCAAGACAGGCGCTAGCAAAACTATAACTTGGTTGTAACTAAAAGCGTTGTACTTTTCAATGAAATTAACATAATACTGCCAATTGTTTGCATCTTGAAAGGAAAAAAAATAAGTAAAGCCAAGTTTGAAAAGAGCAAAAGAGCAAAAGATTGTTTAAGTGTGATAATTAGATTAGGACATAATTTGCGTATACGGAAGCCTACATGTGGTGACGTCCATTCAATCAAGTGTGACATTTCTGAGGGACTTTGGTCATACGTCATTCAGGAACTTAATTATCACGTAACGTTATAACAAAGGGGTGGGGAAAAGTGTCACCTTTGTCCGCTTTTGGTGTGAAGGCCCTTTCTACTATTCAACAACGCGAAATATTTACTTCTTAACTTAATTAAATCGTAATCAGATCAAATGCTTTGCTGCAAATGCGTTAGTGGCTGCGGTTGATATTTAAAACGCACAGCGGGACTATAAAATAAATTTTCATACACATGAAAACGACTTCTCTGTTTTCTTTTCAAGTACAAATTCGTGAGGTTTTTAGCTTGTTTTGTAAGCTACTAGTCTTCACATAATAATAAAGGCCTATTGACTAAATAGGCCACCGTTTTTAGCTCTTGTTTGTAATAATTTACTAGACATAAAAAAGTTGAAAAATGTTGAGTGAAGAAACATGTGCTCCGTACCTGGATATCCGGACATTTGTAGGCGATCACGGAACAAGTCGGCCCGCCGACGTAGCCAGCTCCGATACAGCAAATCTTGCGTATAGTCGTCATATCTTTGTCGTTTGGTGAGAGAAGTTAGAAACGTGCTCCTTTTTGCGGCGGGGTTTTGCTTTTAATGACTGGAAACCGGAAGGGACGTCTGCTTTCTACGTAAGGACCGACCTTTGACACTAAACACTCCCCTTGCACATTCCACTCACCACCACTGAAATCTTTGGTCAAAAATACCCCAAAAAATTGTTGAAACGACAATAAATGAACAGAAATAATTATATAATATTCAACTCAATTGACGCAAACTTTATTGTTATGAATAATTTCCGCAGAATGAGAGATTTTTGTGCAATTTTTCTAACGTTATCTACATCCCCCTCAACTAATGAACTTGTCCAAACATACAGCATACAAATGCTACACATTTTTTTCTCTCAAATTTCTGATTTTGAGTCAAAATCATCACAAATTACAGCTTATTTCAGCAAAAAGAAAAACATGAAGACTCATAATTATCAACATATTTTCTCTAGTACAATATATTTGCTTTGTATATTTTCTGGTTTGATATAAGTATGGTTTTAGGTTTGTTCGCGGTGGAGTCATAAGACTACGAAGATGTCGACAGTACTTGGAGGAAGAGTCCGGGCGGGGAGCAAGGTTCTAGCTCCTCAGTACGACCAAGAAGGCAATGAAATCCAGGTTTGTGTGAATATTAAATAAAATTAGGGTCACAGGAATCCGTCAGTACTATGTTTCACGGAGGTCCAGTGCTATTTTGTGTAAAGACAAGCTTTTTTTATTGGAGGGGGGGGGGGCAGGCTTCCTTCCGGACTGGTCCTGTCGCATATAAATTAAGATTTAATAAATTTCTTATGATAAACTCTGAGCAGCTCAGTTGATTTCTAATGAAAATTTCACGAAAAAATAGTCTTGTCATTTGACAAATGTGTGCCGTGCAATTGTTGTTGTTGATGTTTATTGTTGTTATTTACAGGTGGAAACCCGTGAGGATGAGGAACAACAGGTGAAGTTGGACCAGACCATTGAGCTGTTACTGGCAGCAGGGTACTTCAGGGCCAGGATCAAGGGCTTGTCTCCCTTTGACAAGGTAAGGGACTTGAACTAAAGGAATTCATTTTTCCTAGAACTATCTTAGAGTGGAACTCGCTGCCACCAAGTACAGAAGGAGCATTGTCATTAGATAGCTTTCATTCCCCTCCTAATAAACATAACGTTACATAGTTGAGCTTTTGACATTTGCCATTTGACCTTTGTACCCAGGTTGTTGGGGGCATGACCTGGTGCATCACGACCTGTAACTTTGACCTCGATGTGGACCTTCTGTTCCAGGAGAACTCAACGATTGGTCAGAAAATGTAAGTTGGACCTAAAAAGGTAACATTTGCAAAGCAAATGCATAATGTTTACCTTTGCATATGGTCTGCTCTGTTCATACTCAAACACATTCATATATATGGTGACAGGATCCTAAATCCCTCTTGCTGTAATTGCAACATGATGTACCCTAACAATAGTTACTATGGTGACAGACGCCTGGTTCAGGGTGAACAGTTATCCGAGCAAGAAATCTTGCTCTCCATCCATTTTAAATTTCTTCCTCCCCTGTATCTCTCAACCGGAACTCCAATATTATTCATTTTGGCAAAAATTTGTTGATGGGCTTTCTTAACCCTAAGCAAGTTCTATCATGCTTTTAGTGTGAAAAACATTCAGAAATGATCCATATGTTTCCCTAGTGCTCTAACAGAGAAGATTGTGGCAGTGCTGCCCAAGATGAAGTGTCCTCACAGGATAGAACCACATCAGATCCAGGGTCTGGACTTCATCCACATCTACCCTGTGGTGCAGGTTTGTTGACTTGCATTTGTTGGTTCTGTTGTGCATCAATAATCTGACGTTATTCACTCCCTAGAACTTCCAGTTCATCCACATGTTTTAAGAACCTTATGCTACACGTTTTTTTTATTTTTTGGTTCGCCCGCTTCATATTTTTCTGATTTAAAAAAAAAGATTCAGGTTCTGAATCAACTCCAAGATGCTCACACATGTATTTTGGCCCCAGTTGTTGAAGAAAGCTTCTTGTCTTCCTAGTTGTAAAAGTTTTTCTATCTTTCAATGCATTGGTTTGACAAAAAGTTTAAAGCTCATTGTTTGAATTGTAAACCGGTCTGGGATGTTGACTTCATAGTCCTATGGTAGCATTTGGGGCTATCATAGGAGGCTTAACCCTGGTTTTATTTTTATTCATTTTTGCCCTGTTGCTACAGTAAACCAGACAGTGAGTGTGTGAGTGTGTTGCTTCATATTTTTTCTGAAAGAATCTAACCAACAAATCAAATTGGTGTGGCCTTAGAACTAAAAAGATTAACTTGGTGTGGGTAAATCAGAAAATGTAGAAGAATGTTAAAGTACTAGCAGTAGTATCCAGTTATTAAAAGTTTATTTCCATGTATTGGTACACAGTGGCTGGTTAAGAGGGCCATAGAGACACGAGAGGAGATGGGAGATCAGATCAGAGCCTTCTCCGTCTCTCAGTTCAACAAGAACCACCGCACGCCAGAGGACCAGGAGTTCGATTCTCGTAAGGAACAGTCCATGTCCACACTGGCCACGGTCAAGGTGAGTACACTGGGTTTCTTCAGAAATGTTTCCACCAAATCTAACATTTGTTCATCAGGGAGCAGCTCCCTCTAGCAATCTATTTTCAAACTGCAGACCAGGAGTTCGACTCATAATAAGGAACACAGTCCATGTCCACACTGGCCGCAGTCAAGGTGGGTACACTGGACAGTCAGGGATTCTTCTTAAAAACACTCGTCCATCAGGGAGAAGCTCCCTCTAGCAATCTATTTTCAAACTGCAGACCAGGAGTTTGACTCTCATAAGGAACAGTCCATGGCCACACTGGCTGCAGTCAAGGTGGGTACACTGGACAGTCAAGGTTTCTTCTGAAACACTCGTTCATGCAGGGAGAAGCTCCCTCTAGCAATCTATTTTCAAACTGCAGACCTCAACAATAAACTTCACCTGAAACTCAGATATTGTTGTCTCCTAGACTGGTTACCAGCCCCGCCGACAGTACAAACGACAGGATGTTTCTGAGTTGTTAGATGAGGAATCTCGGGTGCATTCTACTCTACTGGAGTATGGAAGGTCAGTACTTCATACATATATGCATTTATATGCTGTATGATGATAAATGTATATTACTTACATTCATGTGCTATATGTGTGTGTGCCTGTTATGTTTTGTGCAGAGTTTTAGTCATTCATTGTCTGCAAAATCCACTATTGCTCTGGTATCACAGTTTTCTATGCCTCTATTTTTCTATTCTGTTGAATAAAGGGAACAATCGCGATTACAGAATGGTGCTGTCATTTCATGGTCATGTTTCTGTTGTTTGCGTGTAATGTATTATATTATAAAATTGTATCCCTTGTCTTTGTATCATTCAGTATATTGCTGTCTCCCTTCTGTGTTCTGTTTCTCTCAGTTCTGTCTCCAAACGAGTCTTGGCTTCCTCCAACATTTCTGCTATTCTAGGGGAAACCCTGACATTTGACCCCTGGTATCTTATGTTCTGTATCTACTAGTATGTTTGTCTCTTGTTTGGTAAGGCCACACCAATTTAATTTGTTGGCTGTCGGATTTGCCTCTTCATTTTTTTCTGATTTGAGAAAAAAAAAGATTCTGGTCCTGAATCAACTCAAAAATGCTCATATTTTGCCCCCAACAGTTAAGGAAGATCCTTTTCTTCCTAGTTCTTGCAGTTTTTCCATTTATGAATGCAGTGGTTTGATTGAAAGTTTAAACATTCATTGTTGAAATATTAATCCAGCCTTTTGTGTTGACTTCATGGCTCATAGCATTTGGAGCTATAATACCGGTAGCATGCCTAAACCTGTTTATACTTTTATTTTTTTTCGCCCTGTCAGTTCATATTTTTTATGAAAAAATCCGAGAACCAACAAATTAAATTGGTCTAGCCTAAGGTTATGAATAGAAGGATATTCATTTCATTGAAAATGGCATTGTGTAGTGCTTTGTATACTACCATTGGAAGCTTGAGATAGCTATAAATACATTTTGGACATCATTCATTGAATTTCATATTCCTTGTTGTGTTTTCAAAGTAAGTAAAACTGTCTGTACGATCTTGTGTTTTCAGGAGGTATGGCTATAGACCAGAAAAGGCAGATAAAGTAAGTGAGAACAGGTCATTCTTTTCTTGATTGATTTTCAATCATGATCAAAATTGTTATCATGATATAAGAATCATGATATCTCAAGATTATTACTGTGTTTTTGAATGGCTCTCTTGAATGAATTATTAAAATCTGATGTGATTTTCTTGTTTTTGGTCTGATATACAAAAATTTGTGGAACAAATATGTGTATCATGTGTGTATTATTATTTGATTGTTGTGATCTGTATTGATTATTATGTGATACCCTGCATCAATTCAGCCGACTGCACGGGTACTGTTTGGACAATAAAAACCATTTATTATTATTATAAATCATGTTTCCTGCTCTAATGCCCCCCC